TCATCCTGTTTTATAGTACAATTATGGACTCGATCTTATATTTTTGTGTCAACGCATGCATTAATCGAGAATATGTTTTCTTAAAAGCATAGTTTTCACATCAACTTGATTAAGGTAACAAATTAGGGGGATTTGCTAACAAAATGATGGCTTCACTTCACTTGATTAAGGTAATAAAAGTCATGAATACAGCTGAATTAATAGTTAAAATAAGCAATATTATCATAACCATAGAAAGCTTAGTTAAACATATTTTTCACCCTTGAATTATTAGGAGATAACAGTTACAGGCCTAAACCCAATTCAAAATAAAGCCCTAAATAAGCCATCAATCAAGGCTCAGCCCACGATTCAGCAAGAAAACCGAGACCCAAAGAGAAACGCAAAAGATTTCTGGGATTGAAACTTTGATTGCTTTCACATTGAACAAGTTTGTTACAGAGGATCATAACAACATTAGTTCTTGTCTTTAAAATCTCAAAAACAGACCAATAACCACGTAAACCCCTTTTACCTCCCCTGAAATTCATTGTTTTTGTCTTTACGATCAAGCTGATTCTGTTTTAATCTGCTTTTGGTTTCTGGGTTTGGCTTGTTTATGTTGTTTAAGCAACTCATTGAATAATTTTAGCATAAAAAAGTACACAAATGGAGCTTGGTGTGATGTTTAAAGTTTGAAACTTGATGCAAATTTATCGTACATGTTTAGTTAATATGTCTGATGTGAAGAAGTTTCTTTTTGATGAACGCGAAGAAAACTGAAAAAACCCAAGTTTCAATTAAGTGGTATATGGAGAACTTGAGGGTTATTTTGGTTTGTTTTGTAGTAAATTTTCATTCTTTTAGTATATGCAATTGAAAAGAATTCAAATTTACAATGTAGAATGATGGCAGATGGGGGAGCTTGCTGTTGATAAACATGTTAAATATTTTGTATCAGTTGAAAAGGTGAGTTTTTCATTGAACATTCAGCACTTCTGTATTTCCATACTTTACATTTGAACTATGTGATTCGAGTTATTGAACATGGCTGTTATGATTTTTTTGGTTGATTATGTAACTAAAGAGAAAAGATAGTTTTGAATCGTGTGGTTTTGGAGCATCTTCGGATGAATGAGGTGTATTGGGGATTGTCCACTCTTGATCTTCTAGGAAAGCTTGATGTTGTGGATTCAAATGGGTCATGGTAAGGTTGGTGATAATCTTTTTTGGCAGGTGGGTTTTACTCGAAATTAATTGATTATGCATTGCTACCAGTAAACTTTTAGTCATAACAACTACGATTGCATGGGTTTGGAAGATGCTGATTTAGTTCACTAAAAATGACAGTGGGTGAACTTTATTGTTTTCTTTATTGTTTCAGTGGATTTCATTTTCATCTTTTGAAGAGCTGAAATATAACAGAACTTAATAATATCTGTATATCATTGAAGATTTCAACACCTTGGCATCTTTGGAACTTCGATGGAACTAGTTTATCGTACAATGTTTTTGCAGGCTATGCGTAATAAACTTGGGAAGAAAATGTTTGTATTTTGTTTTGTGTGATGATGAACAATTTCGATTATATAAAACGGAGGCTGCTAGTTCTTGGAAATTGATTTTTGTGCAAGTTGCCGATGTTTATTCTTGTGTTCCTCAAAACTCTTTCTGGATTCAACCCACAATTTTATGACTGCTTAGAGTGAAATCTTGAATAAACATGGCCATGGCCATTGGAGTTTGCTATTTCTTGTGTTTAGCTATACAAGACAACCATTGACTTCGAAATTCACTACGTAAAATAATAATAATTAGGGATAGATGGGTATTGTTTTCGTTTTCATTTTGGTTTTTGAAAATGAAAGTAGAAAATTGATTTGTTTTGCTGCTTCTTTTTTCTTTTCTTTTCTTTGTTTTTTTCCTCCGAAACAAACACGTTTTGTGATATCAAACGATATTTCTCAGAATGACTGATTTAATGTTTCTAATAGAGTTCTTTGTCTAAGCTTTTATACAAATTATATTTTAAAAAAAATTGTGAAATTATCTTATGAGAAGGAAAGCTGCAAAAACTTGAATCATTAGATCAATTTGATATTGTTTTTTAGTCATTAGAACAAGTGAACCCTTGTAATGGATCCTACACGTATTCAGTTAAACATGGAAATTGCACATTTTGATGAAAAAATCATGATAGATAATCCGAAAACATAAACAGCTAATAAGCATCAATGTGAACGTAAGAAAAAGGCAACAAGAAATGCCAAATCCATTAATTGTTTCCAGGTTGTATCGATACCCAATGAGAAAGAGAAAGAAAAGGACGGTAAAAATTACTTTGTCCTCAAGGAAGTGAGTGACTCTTGTAAGAGAAGATGTGATGCATCAAATTCCACGACTTGGAAAACTGCAGAATAGCTAACGTTTGTCTCATCAAAGCCGTCACCTAATCCTGGCCTCCACCATATTTTAATCACATTTACAGTCCACTCCTCCACTTGCTCCCCACTGCTGTGCAGCCATTGGCATGAGCTGAGATGGAGATTCCCGATCAAGAATGAAAAGTTTCCCAATATTCCTTAGGATGTTGTAGAAATTTTTTTATAAATACAACTTTTCAGATGCAGATATCTTTCCTAAAACTTGATTAGAAAAAAAAAAAATATTAAACGTAAAGGTTGATGTGAAGATATTCTAAATGTTAGAAACTAAAGAGGCAAAAGAAAAAAGTGTTGTATTAAGTCTAGGTATCAAATTGTGTCGGAACTTTAGTTTATTTAAAAATTATTTTTAGATTTAGTTTATCTATCATTTTCTGTTATTTATATTAAAAAATAATAATTATATAAATAGTTTTATGAAGAAAAATATTCAATGATATTTATTTAAAAATTTTCAAAAAGTTTAAAATCATTTCGAGTTATTTCTATTTTTTATATTTTTAATACTTAATAAATAAAGAAATATAATTTATGATTTTAAAAAAAATTTATAAGTTTCTTAAAAAATAGATTGAATTTTTTTCAACCGCATGTGCAAAACGTTATTTTAAAATATCAAAAATTAAGTTTTTTAAAAGAAACGAATGAGAGCTAAAAAATTATAGAATAAACTAAATTTAAAAAAAAAATCAAAAGATCAAAATATAAATTTAAAAATTAAAATTTTATTTTCAAATAAATTAAACTTAAAAAAAATTAGCGCTTTTAACCTGTTTTCGGTGCATTTAACGTGACAAAACCATGAATGCCAACATCGACATTTGTGCTACTGATGGGTTTGAATAAAATAGTTGAAAAAAATTCATCAAATTTATATCCAGACCATTTTATCCTTAGCAGGACAATGATATCGTATTGTACAATCACAATAAAAACTGACAGAGCGAAACACTACTTTAACCTACGATCAAACATTTTCTAAAATTTAATTTCTCTAGATATAGACAGGGGTATTCGTTGGGTTATTGAATTTGATTTCGAGATATTTTGCACAATTTTTTATTGATTAAATATTTTAAAAAAATAATTGAAACCGAACTGAGTTGATTTTTTTTTATTTTTCAATGGTTAAATAATTCCATTGTTATTCGTTTTATTTTATTTTATTTATAAATAATTTATTTTATTAAAGTTTGTAAAATCTTTGTTTAAAATGAGTTTTCTTCTACTTTATGAATTACTAGCTAAAAAACTAAATTATGCTAAAAAAATAATAAATATATTGATAAATAAATAAATAATAAATTATTTATTCAAAAAGATTTAAATTTGAGACGATAAAAAATTTATCAACATCTTTACTATTTTGTGTCTATCCAAACTTGCAATAGAGATAAAAAAAAAAAAAAAAACACATACGAATATGTAGATCGAAATGCTTATAAGAGAGAAAGGTTTTTCAATTTGAAATGCAATAAGTGATTTGACTTATATATATATTAAATTTCAGTTTTATGATTAATCAAATTTTTTATAAAAAAAAAAACCAAACCTGAATTTGAAAACTTAAATTATTTTGATTTGATTTTTTTTAATTTCTTAAAAAAACTACACCAAAATTAATATTTTAATATGATTTTGTTTGATTTTTTCTCGAATAGTAAATACCTGGACGTAGAGTTTGAACCCTTGACATCTTCGTGATTGGTCATTCTTATTACAAAAAATTGAAATCCAACGATGTAACTGTCCATACTGGCACGGTAGAATTCTGCTTAAAATGCAGTGGATTACGTTCAACAATGGAGTTATTTATTCACAGACAAGAGAAGTCCCAGACTTTGAGACCCGAGACAGGAGGACGAAGGAGGTGATGCCCCTGTTGGATAAGACATGTATACGTCAACATGCGTGCACTCTACTACTTGCTGTCCGTGCATCCACAGTCTTGCCTGTGTAAGAAATTCTGACACATGGGAGCTAAGCCTATCAAAAGTAGGATCCCTCATTCTTATTTTTTTTGGGGATTTGCTTAATCTTTCTCCTATTAGCTGGCTCTTACCATAATTGTAAGACCCCATCTAGCTCTCTCCTCAGATACTGAAACCCTGTTTTTTTTTTTTACTATTTTATGTACATTGGTTTCTGAAGTCATCTCCTCGGATTCTCACAAGTGAAAATCTTTACACGATATCAACTTGCCAGCCAAACCCACTAGCAAAACACTCTTCAAATTTTGGCTCATTGTGGTCATGTCATGATCGGATTTTAAATATGTCGTTAGATTCATGTATTTATAAGAAATTATTTTCGTAACTATTTTCATCAAAACTTGAATTTTGAACAATAATGTTGTGATTATAGTCTTTTTCTTTTTATCTTAATAATACGGTTATATTCAGAATCATTTCTATACATCGAGGTTGGGTTTTTTCGAAATGAAATATTAACTATGTCATTTATATTTAAACCGATGTATTTACAAAAATTATTTTTTAATCTTGATATTTAAACAATAACATAATAAATATATCCACTTGTTAATCGGATTAGATCTCTAATAACTAATGAGATTAACTAAAAAGTTTGTAGTTCACTAGTTCAGTGCTAATAATTTTTGACAATAAGAAATCACGATTTAAATCCTAACGAATTAATTTTGTTAAGAGTTTTTGATGTACGAGTTAAAAAAATAAAACAATAAAAATAATGTGATTATGATTAATTTTGTTAAGACACAAAATTTAATGCATTATTTATGAAAAATGACTACTAAAATGGCCACGAATTCCATTTTTTAAGTTAAAATAGGATAGGATTCAGATTATATCTACACTTAGTTTTTTCAAGATAAATCTTAAATATATTATTTACATTTAGATTCATGCATTTAGAACTTTGGATAAAACTTGAATCTTGATTCTCGAATACTAATATACTAAACAAATCCACTTATCGATCGGATTAAGCGTCCCATAGTTATTGTGATTAATTATGTCGAGATACAAAATTTGACGCTTGAATTTTTATTTGTGTTGATTTTTTTCTAATTAAATTAGGATAGAAAATTTTATAATACTCAAAGAATAGTTAATAGAGCTTACTTTATATAAAGATATAGACATAAAAAAGAAAAAATAATAAATAAAAATTGAACTAAATAAAAATCTTTTTATATTTTTTTCGAGTTCAAATATAATTTTATCTTTTTTACATGTGTATATCTCTTTTAAAAAATAAATTTATAAAATAATTATTGTATTATATATATATTATTTTTTGAGTATTTTATCGGATAAGATGCTCCTAAACCGTGAACTCACGGTTGATCGCAAAAATTCAACCCTTGACAAATCTGTCAAATGCATTGAATCTGGATTCAATCCCATAAACTCTGCATTTAAAACGGACTTAATCAACCATAAAAGGGGATTGGTGTTGACTCCAACATTAATTATAAAACCTCGTTATTAAGACAAAACAACGTCATGAATTATTTCGATTTTGTTTCACCACAAGGTGTAGCTGACGAATTTCTATATTTTGAAATTTTTACTTGTCAATGGGTAAATAGTTATCCAAATGGCAAACTCCATTGACTGCTAAATGCTAATTACTATATTATTTTTTTAATTATTTAGTTTCTATATTTTTTAATTTTTGTAACTCGATCCTTTTCATTCTTTTTAAATTTATTTTGATTTTTTTAAGAAATAGAGAGTAAAAAATATAAAATGATCGAGGTGAAAATTTTTTTTTAAATCAAATAATATTAAATTAAATATGATCAAAATTATTGAGAAATTAAATAAATAATAGTATTTGAACTCTTGCAATAAGTGATTACAAGCTTAAATACTAACATACTAATTCTGTTAAAATATTGGATGTGTGAATTAAAAAAATAATACTTAAAACTAAAGAGACTAATTAATTTATTTTTTCAAACTAGAGGGACTACATAATAATTTAGTTTTCAAACGTGGCAACTTAGTTAAGATGCTGAGCTGTCAATTTGCAGAAAGCAATCAGTGCTGTGAAATTAATCTATTAATTGGATTAAAGCGGTACTTATCAATCATAACAACTACCACTAATTAAATTCTTTAGGACAAAAGTGAATAGTCCCTACTCCCTTCTGACAGCGCAGAAAAGGACCGTAGTACATTGACAGGATTCCCACCGAAGCTGTGGGTTAGGAAAAGTTTCATTTCTTATTACTTATTAATAATTAATTATAATAATTATTATTTTTAATAAAATAAACATATTTATTTGTTCTCATATAACATTTAAAATCCGTAGACTTTCTAATCATATTTTATTTATTCATCAACACATTTAAAATATTTAATCTGTATTTCGAACCTAATTTTTTGATCAAACAAAAAAGTTTGCCCAAAATTTTCTTTATTAAAATGCAAAAAAATAAATAAATAATAATAATAAAGTCACATGATTTAAATGTTATATTTTTGGAGTCTCTATATTGATATTATTATTATTATTCAATTTCAATCAATAGCATTCGGGTTAAAAATTTTTTTTGACATAAAATGTATTTATTTGTTCTCATATAACATTTAATATCTGTTGACTTTCTAATTACATTTCATTTGTTCATCAATACATTTGAAATATTTAATATGTATTTCAAACCTAATTTTTCAATCAAACAAAAAGGTTTTTTTTTTACCTAAACTGTCTTTATTAAGATGCAAAAAATAAAAAAATAAAAAATAAAAATATTTAAAGTCAAATGATTTAAATGTTATATTTTTGAAGTCTTTAGATTTTTTTTTTAATTTCAATCAATAGCATTCGGATTAAAAAAATTATTTGGCATAAAATGTATTTATTTGTTCTCATGTAACATTTAATATCTATTGACTTTCTAATTACAATTCAATTGTTCATCAATACATTTAAAATATTTATTCTATATTTGAAACCTAATTTTTCAATCAAACAAAAAAGTTTGACCCAAAGTTTCTTTATTAAAATGCAAAAAAAAAAAAAAAAAAAATCTAAAATAAAAATATTTAAAGTCACATGATTTAAATGCTATATTTTTTAAGTCTTTAGATTTTTTTTTTTTGAATTTCGATCAATAGCATTCGGGTTAAAAAATTATTTGGCATAAAATTTAGATTTGAAGGCAGATTAAACATTTTAAACACTTTCAGAGACAAATGAAATGCAATTAAAAAACTAAAAATAGATATGAGACATTATGTATTATATAATGACAAATGAATATGTTTATTTTTTTAATGTTATTAAATTTGAGCTGTTTTATCCCATAAGATAGTTCAATAATCGACTAAAAGTTAAATATATTCTGACATTAGTTAATTTAATAAATTTAATTTTAATTAATGAGAAAACTGATTCAAAAATGTTCACTATTTTATTTTTTATAATATTAAATTTAAATTGGTTTGGTAAGAAGCTTTCATATTAGTTTAGTTTAAAAAATAATAAATTTAATTTTAGTTAATATAAAAGAAATACTCATTGTTTATATATATATATTGGAATAAACGTTCCCATAATCATTTATTCAACTGCAAGAAAGCAAGAAAACAATGATGAAATTATAGCAGAAAATTCATTCCAATCAAGCACGAAGAAAGCCAGTTTGATGCAATAAAGACCAGCCAGCTAGCTGTCAATTTCTCACCCCCACAAAAATTTGAAAATGAGAGAATGTACCTTATGCACAGAAAAAGATCTGAGTACATTGATAGGATTCCCACCAAGGGCGTGGGTTAGGAAAAGTTTCATTTCTTATTACTTACGAATAATTAATTATAATTATTATTATTTTTAATAAAATAAACATATTTATATGTTTTTATATAATATTCAATATCTTCCTAAGTTTTTAATTACATTTCATTTGTTCATTAATACGGTTGAAATATTTAATCTATCCTTCAAACCTAATTTTTTAACCAAATAAAAAATTTGACCTAATTTTTCTTTACTAAAATGTGAAAAAAAATAAAAAATAAAAAATATTTAAAATCACATGACTTAGATGTTTCCATTTTGACGTCTTTAGATTTTTTTTTCTGCATTTTAATCAAGAGCATTCGGGTTAAAAACAATTCATTTGGTATGAAAATTAGGTTTGAATGACAAATTAAATATTTCAAGCACGTTAAGAAACAAATAAATACAATTGAAAATCTAAAAATAAATATGAGACATTAGATATTATACAATGACAAATAAATATATTTATCTATTTTTACTACTATTAAATTTAAGTTACTTTATCCCATAAAATAGTTCAACAATCAACTAAACGTTAAATATATTCTGACGTTAGTTTAATTTAAAAAATGATAAACTTAACTTTAATTAATATAAAAATTGATTCGAAAATATTCGTTAATTTATTTTTTAATAATATTAAATTTGAGTTGGTTTTATAAAGCGTTTTCATATTAATTTAATTTAAAAAATAATAAATTTAATTTTAATTAACGCTAAAAAAAATACTCATTGTTTATATATATATATATATATATATATATATATATATATATATATATATATATCGGATTAAACGTTTGCATAATCATTAGTTCAACTGCAAGAAAGTAAGAAAACAATGATGAAATTACAGCAGAAAATTTAAAAAACTTGCCCATGTCAATCAAGCACCGAGAATGCCAGTTTGATGCAATAAAGGCCACCTAGCTGCCAATTTCTTACCCCACAAAAATTTGAAAATGGGAGAACGTACCTCATGCAAAGGTAGATGGTCCTCTCTCTGGATATTTCAAAGCAAAAAAAATATCTACTGCCAAGTTGAAAAGCTCCATTGGGTTGTCAGGATAGCAAAGGGAACTTGATTTTTTGGATTTGTGTGGTGCTTTCTTTCTTCTCTGCATGCCTAAAGCGACACAAGTTCTATCCGTACCATCGCTGGCCTTGGAGGGCCTCCCTGCCATTTTTTCCCATTTTGGTATTAAAAGTTCCTTGTTAAGGAAATATTTAATTCGGTTTTCGGTTTGATTTTAATTTTTTTGATCAATTAAATTGAATAAAATTAAAATTAAAATTAAACTGAATTGAGGTTTAACTTTTTGGTTAAAAAAATAAAAATTTTCAATTCGATTTTCGATTAAAAATCAATTTTTTACATCTTTTTTTTATTTTGAATTTTCTCTTAAATCAAGTTGAAAAATCACTTTTTTACAATTTTTTATAATTTTATCGATTTTCAAGAAATGTTAATAATTTGAATGAAAATTTTAGCCAAAAAAATCATAAGAAAATGATATGAGCCTATGGTGTGTTTTAAAAAAAAACAATAATTCAATTTTCTATGAAAACCATTTTTTAAAAAAAAACTAAACCGAACCAAAATAATTTTATTTTATTTTTTTTCAAATTTTTTGTATAAAAACAAATCAAAATCGCTAGTTTGATTCGATTCGATTTTTCAGTTTTAACCAAACAATATTCACCTTGATGAATATGGGTGTGAGATTATACAGTAGTTCAATAAATTATATACTGTAAATTAAAGGGAATATGGGTGTGAGATTATAAAGTAGTTCAATAAATTATATATTGTAAATTAAAGGGAATATGGGCGTGATAAAAAATATTTTTAATTTGATTAGACGAGAGAAGTGAATTTAATTTTAATATACGTACTATGATTATAAAATAATGCAGGATCGTAAATGCATATAAAAAGACATCGATTGAATTATAACTCTATCATAATTCATTGGAATAGCTTTTTAATTATAAGTTAAAAAAACATAGAATCATTAATGGTAATGGAAAATTATTGAACTTAGAGGTCCATAGTCATCGAAAAATTCGCCACTTGAGTGGATGAGGGAATGGAGCAGAAATAAATCATAGTATTATACTCCAACTTGAACCTTATTACATAGTATGAACATTCTCCATAATGATGTTAAGCATCATTACCATAAATAATTTCCTTATCTTAACCTTTGATTTAGACAAAACAATACCAATAAAAAATAGCAAGTTGATCATTGCACTATTCTACTCCCCTTAAATTTTCCACTACCAAAATTTTGGACCCCCACATGCCCATTTCTTAGCATCAACATACTTCTTTTTTTTTTTTTAGATTTAATAATAAGAGTATCTTCGAATTAATTTTTATGTATTTCGAGATTAATTTTTTTCTGATCATAACTAAAAAATGCTTTCCAATATATAATTTCAGATATTATAAAAATATTAATTATGAAGATCAAACCTTAAAACTGAATACAAATCCAAAGGTTATAGAAAAGAAATTCTCCATAATTTGGCACACATCTCAAAGGTCGTAGGAAAGAAAGAAAACTAATAATTGTAGTTTTCCTTTGGAATTAAATTCCCACCCAAAACTTTAATTAAAACAAGATATGGGAATGTATAGTGGGATTGTAATGTCCAGCTGGCTATAGCATGACCAAAGTGAAAAAAATAAAACAAAGAAGATAAAGTGACCCACTCCCCCATCTGCTCCTCACTCTCCCACCTTGCAAATTCAATCCACTCTCCTACACAAACCAAACGAGAAGAAGAAGCCTTTGAGCTGAATTGGCAGCAATTCATTGGTCTTAAGATCACTCAAGTTTAAAATTTTTATAATGAAAAATCAACAAGGAAATATTTTAATCAATTAATGTGACGTCCAAAAAAAATAAAGTTTAATGGTTCAACTTGTCTTCATATAACTAGGTAATTCTTTAATTTCTTTTATTTGAATTAATTTTATTATTTAATATATATTAAGTGTCAAATTTATTATCCTGATAAAATAAATTATCAAAATCAGTACATAAATTGTATATAAAAATCTTTTATTTGATTGGTTTGTACGAATGTTTTAGAAATAAAAATTATTAGTGCGAAAATCACATTATTAATTCTGATGATTTGATTTGAAATTTTTGACAAAATAATAAATTAAAAATTAATATATATATATATATATATATATATATATATATATATATATATATATATATATATATATACTGACTCGATTAAAAATATAAAAATAAATTAAAAATTGCTTTATTATATAATGATGAATTGAGTTATTAACCTAACAAATTAAAATTTATGTAGCTTTATATTTGAAAAAACCAAAACTTTAATGGATTGATAAATTAGAGCATCTAGTTTGTTTATATCTGTATTAATTAGTAACAAATATTTTTATAAATTTAATTTTATATTCTACACGTAAGTAATTCACGTGATTGACGAAATGAAAAATATTTGTTATTAGAAAAACATGTGAAATCATATTATAATTAAGCAAATGTTTTTAGTTATTGTTGCTTATAACGTTTTCATTAACCAACGAAAATGCTATCACTAACTACAATTCTTGCAAGTATTGCATTTAATTTGCAAAATTTGATGTTTTCGCTATAACTTCTATATGTTATAAATTCATTTTTCAATTTAAAAATACACCATTTATATGTAAGTTAGAAACTTTAAAAAAACATTATCATAATTTAATTTTAAAATTAAATCTCAATTAGTAACTTCTTCCGGAAAAAAAACCCCGACTATTATAGAGCAATTTAGACTTAGGCTAACCCTTAAAATTATGTAATTGAAATATTTCAAATATGAGATGTCATTCCTGCAAAAACTACAATAAAAATAAAAATTGAAAATAATTTTCAAACTACAAAATGCCATTTTAAACACTAGTTATTCTTATGACGTGTCACTTCTAGAAAGCGAGTTTCTTTTACTCGCAGGTCTGTGAGAGTGTTCTCGATTCTTGTCTGAAAGGTAGACATCAAACGTAATGAGAGTGAGAGAGGGTGCTTTTTTAACTCCTTCTGGCAGTGACAACTGGACCGAACAGTGAAACAGCTGTATCGTCCTACGTGTCATAAATCCATTGGCTTAGATCTGCAACTAATCCTTTTGAATAGGAGACAATCTCCATCATGCAGCGACCAGCTTTAATCCAGCTACGCAAAGCCAACACAGTAACGGCTACATTTTTTATTTTTCAGATTTTTTGGGAATTTTTGTCACTTTCGTTTTCTCACGTGACAAATGACGTGGCTCGGGTTGTAATTTGCTCCTACCCGGCGGACATTCTATCCGACCGATCTAGAAAAATCAGAATTTAATCCAATTCGATGAAATAAAATAAGATTTTTTTTTTACATTCACCATCTATATTCATACCCTACCTAATTATCATTTAAATTATTAAAATATTAAAAATAATTAAACAACTAAATTTTAATTCGAATCTAGTTAAATTATAATATATCAAATTCAAATTAAATGAGAAAAATATTTTAATTCAATAAATTTTGTCTCAATCTACAGAAGCATACGATTTTATTCAATTTGATAAAACATGAGATAAGATTCAATATTTTCATTTATAACTTATTCAGATTTTAATTCAAATAGTTAATATATATATATATATATATATATATATATATATATATATATATATATATATATATATATATATATATAACTTGAATTTGATTGGGCTATATATCCAATGTGAATAAGAGAAAAGAGGTAAAAGATTTAAAATATTAAAAATAATTAAACAACATAAATCTAATTAAATTATAATATATCCAATTCAAATCAAATAAAAAAAGTGTTTCAATTCAATAAATTTCTGTCTTGATTTATAAAAGAACACGATTTTATTCGATATTTTTATTTGTAACTTCTTCAGATTTTAATTCAAATAGTTAAATTATATATATAATAACTTGAATTTGACCGGGCTATATATCCATCCAATGTGAGCCGGAGAAAAGGGGCAAAAACTCAAACCCAAACCGACCCGATTTATCATCATTCATTGCCGTGGCATAAAATTTGCTGACATGGAATAAAACAGGCTGATGTGGCCAATGGTATAGTAAAATTTAAATGATTCATTAAAAAAAAAAAATTAAACGGAGGGGTCTTATAGAGGAAGCCAAGAGGGGGAGTTTGGGGCTATAAAAAGGCTCTCTGATTTGGTTCTGAGGCATCACACAGAGTAGAGAGCTTCAACCATCTCCGCACTCTTTCCACTCTCCCTATAGCTTCTTTTCTTGATGGCTGTTTCAGTGTTCAAAATGTTGGGTCTCTTTGTTGGTTTCTCTTTAATGGTGGGGTTGGTTGGTTCAGCTAAGTTTGATGAGCTCTTTCAACCAAGTTGGGCTCAAGATCACTTTGCTCATGAAGGAGAGCTTCTTAGGATGAAGCTTGATAGTTATTCTGGTAAATACGCATTATTTTCCTTGCAAAGATTGAAACTTATTGTTTTCTATGCACAAAGTTTGAAACTTTGAACCAACCCAGCAAGCTTCATTGCTACACCAACTTTTGTGCTTCTCAAGGCCATAAATGTCCCATTGGTTTGCTCCTACACAGCAGTTTTCTAGCAGTGTTTTCCTGTGTCTAGTGAATGCATTTGAGCCACAAATGTATCAATGTTTGGGTTTTTTGAGGGTTTGTCTTGTTGACATTCATAAACTAATGGGATTTTTTTTTCAGGTGCTGGATTTCAATCAAAAAGCAAGTATATGTTTGGGAAAGTAACAGTGCAAATTAAACTTGTAGAGGGTGACTCTGCAGGAACTGTTACTGCTTTCTATGTAAGTATATTCAACCAAAGCTAACAAAGGCTTTTACCCTTCTTGTTTGCCTTTTGAAATAGAATTGATTGTTGCTTAGCTGGATTACCCCATGATCATGACCTCTGTCTGTCCCCATTTAATAATGTTTCACCCTATTCATGGAATACAACATTCAAGAAAAAATGTACTGAGTTTAATATTGGATTTATTCGATTTCATCAGTTAGCTAGTACTGAACCACTAGTAGTAGCATCTACCCCTTAATTTTATGTCTCATGAATTTTGTGTAAGTCCACATTTATCTTACATTTATTAGCTAGTCCCACACAAAAATTATTTAATAGTATCTTAGTAAAGTCAAAAACATTAATGATTTTTAATGTAAACAGTTTCTGCATGAAGCATCGATTTTATTTAATTGTGTTTATGTTGATAATGACATTTTATTTGTGGGTTTAGTCTAAAGTTTTGATCTTTTGATGAAACAGATGTCATCTGAAGGCACAAATCACAATGAGTTTGATTTTGAGTTCCTTGGCAACACCACAGGTGAACCTTACTTGGTTCAAACCAATGTGTATGTTAATGGTGTGGGTAATAGAGAACAAAGAATGAGCCTTTGGTTTGACCCTACCAAGGACTTCCACGCCTACTCCCTCCTTTGGAACCAGCACCAAGTTGTGTAAGCCCCATCACTTTACCAAAAAAGATGCTTTCCATTTGAGTGTGCTATTATATATTAGTTCATGTTTGCTTACACACATAAAAAATGCATAACTTGGTAATATCAATATGTGCATTATGCATGCATGACATAGACATAAGGATCTGTGCATATATGGGGCAAGTTGCTTTATAATAATATTACTCGAGGTAAAAGCAGCGGCCATGGCACTGAAAAGAGGTAGTAATAGCAGATTGGTCAGTTCTTCAGTACATACGTCAGGGCTCTGGTGCTTGTTTGCTTGAACGGCTAAGGAATACTTCAGTGTTGTTCAGTTCTGTGTGTCTTGCTCTTAGGGCCATTCTCTTGGTGCATGAAAGTCTTGTGGGTGCCTAGTGGATGTTACTGGCCTCATTACAGAACAAAATGACACGAGAAACCAAACCCATAAAAAAGGGACCTAATTTTGGAATATCTATGAGAAAGGAGCAAATGGGGTCCCATACAAATTAACAAAGATACAGACAGATTTGCGGTACTGTAATGGTGTTTTAAATGGTTCTTGGCATGTAGTTGTTTCCGTACATAGAATACAATTGGTGCTTGTTGTATTGCATGTTTTCTTCTGGTGGCTCATCTTGGCTTTATTTAAATTAAATCTTATGTTGATAATGTGACTGAGTTTTGTTTGGTTGCTTTAAATAATTCACTATGGTTTTGAAATTTTGGAAATGTTAGCTAAAAGGAAACGGGATTAGAAAAAAACTTGGATTCGTTATTGGTTAATCTAGCATCTGGATGTTGACATGCTACTATTTTCTGCAGTATAAGCTAAATTTGTCTTGCGTTTTTTTGGTTCAGGTTTCTAGTGGACGAGACCCCTATTAGATTGCATACGAATATGGAAAACAAAGGGATTCCTTACCCAAGGGACCAAGCCATGGGTGTATACAGCTCAATATGGAATGCAGACGATTGGGCTACACAAGGTGGCCGTGTCAAGACTGATTGGAGCCATGCACCTTTCGTTGCCTCCTACAAAGGGTTTGAAATCGATGCATGTGAGTGTCCAGTAACAACAGCAGCAACTGATAACGCTAAGAAATGTAGCAGCAGTAGCGAGAAAAGGTATTGGTGGGATGAGCCAACAATGTCCGAGCTTAGTTTGCACCAGAGCCACCAGCTTTTGTGGGTAAAAGCTAACCACATGGTCTACGACTTCTGCAGTGACACTGCTAGGTTCCCAGTGCCTCCTCTGGAGTGCCAGCACCACCACCACTAGTAATGCAATAAAGGGTTCATGTTCATGGAGGAAAGGAAATCAGTACTACTGTAAAAAAAGAAGGGATAAAACATGTACTCCATGTTTGATATTTTGTTCATTTCGTCTTCTTTTCTGCCTGCTGTTGTAAGATATCGTTATTATAGATTAAATATGATTTGTTCTTTCTTTGTTTCTATTGAAACAATGGCCTCTCTTTGCAAAATGGGTTTTTAACTGTATTCGTGAAGCAATACCATATACCTCCATATAATTCAAATGGGGTCCTGCAAAAGGCGTCATTTATGCACTTGGTGTCCCATTGGGACCATGGAAATGTAAACGGTTGATGGTAGATGAAGATCAAAAAGATAAGGTTATGCAAGAAATTGGACCAAAGAGCCATGAATCATAGCTTGAAAAGAAGAAACAAAAGAAAAGGCAGGCATTTTGTGGACCCTTTAACTTTAGTGGTGTCTTTAAGTGGTCTGTGAGGATATTATCATCGTGGTTTAGAAACAAGGGCAAAACTATGGGTGCGATTTGATTACAATAGGTGGGGTTCCATGGGGCGTTTAGGCAGACATCTACAGTCTGATGTTTGAATTTCAGAATCGAATGGTACATTAATTAAGGACGAGGTTTGATGTAATAGGAAATAATAGAGAAGAAGAATAGCTAAGATCCAAAAGAGAGCACAGGATCGGATGTGCCACCATCACATTATTAGCGGTGACCATGCAAAACAAAGAATTAGGTTTGTGATAATAACTTGAATTTTTGGAACCATGCAGAATTTCTTGCTTCTTCTTGTTGATTCTTCATCACGCTATCCTGAAGCCATGAGAGTGGAGAGACCCTAGCCTAAAGCAATTATACAGTAAAATTGTGTATTGTCAAAGGCACATACCTCAGGGCAGTGAAATTATAGATTTTTTTTTTTTTTTTTTACCGACATTTTCTGAATTTTCTTTTCTTGATTTCAATCCCTACACTATAGTGTTTTGATTATCATTGAAAAAAAAAATTGACCCTTGATTGTTTTATAACTTTTCGATGACTTATGGTATTTTCTTATAAAAAATAAATATATCTTGTATTTGACATTTAATGGTTAAATTAGTTAGAACATAACATAAAATATGTCAATCAAAACGTCATAAATTCGTAGGTTGAAATTAGAAAACAATGATTCAAACAGTATCAATTAAAATAAACTATAAACTATATGGCTAAATCGTTCAAATCTCATTTGAATTTTAAGTTATTTAAGAATTAATATCTCAACTTTTAATTTGAAATTAGATCTGTTTTTTACTATTTTTATTTAAAATTATATCCTTATATTATATTTCCATCAATTCTAATAGTAGAATACATATAACTTGTACTTAGTTGACATTTTAAATTTTTTAATAGCTAAAAATATATAAAAACTTATGAATATTTTGTATTTTTCTTCAAAATTTACTTTTTTTCTTTTAAAATATTATTTAATTGTTTGTTTCTTAGTATTTAAGAGAAAAGAAACAAGTTTTGAAAGAAAATACAAAACACATATAAGTTTTGATATGTTTTAATTATTGAGTTGTACTTACACGTTATAATTGACGAAAACTTATGAATATTTTGCTTTTTTCTTCAAAATTTACTTTTTTTCTTTTAAAACATTATTTAATTGTTTGTTTCTTAGTATTTAAGAGAAAAGAAACAAGTTCTAAAAGAAAACACAAAACACATATAAGTTTTGATATGTTTTAATTATTGAGTTGTACTTACATGTTATAATTGACGAAAAATTAATAGAAAAAACTAATTTTATGTAAAAAAAAAAAAAAAAATTAAAAGAATATTCAATTCAAAATTAAAAGTTAAAAAATCAATTTTTAAATTATTTAAAAATATATAGAGAGAGAGGGTTCTTAGAATCTGGCTCATCACTCGGTCACGAGAGAGACATGGTACCAATAATTCTGACAAAAAAGAACATGTGAAAACTATGCGGTAATAAATTCATAGCTTTATTACAAGCATGATTATGATGGAGATAGGCAATACAATTTAGCTTCGATGGACCCACAAATTTCATGGACCATAGAGATTTTTGGGGTCATGATTTCTTTTTGAGCTTTGAGTTTCCCCTTCCAGCACGGGATGACCGACTTCTTTAAAAATGTGCTTTTCTCATGTCTTAAGCTCCAGGCACCAAAAGGTGGTGGTGGAGGAGGAGGAGGAGGAGGAGGTGATTGGTGTCTACGCCAATAGAATCCATCTGGGCCATCTTAAATGATGGCTGTCAAAAATAATGCTCTGAGAAGAATCAAAATGATTATTCTATGGGCCCTTTTGGACGCAAAGGAATAGAGTAGATTATAAATTAGTCCTTTTAGTTTTAATAAATAAATAAATAGTCCTTCTTGTTAAAAAATAATTATTTTGTCCTTTTCTATTATTTTAAGAAATAGAAAAAGAAAAAAATGATTAAAAAAATATAAAATTTTTTAATCAAATTAATATTAAATTAAGCATAATCAACATTGGTAAATAAATTAAATAAATAATTTTTCAAAAAAAGAAAGACTAGTTAATTTGTTTCTAAAAATAGAGGGACTAATTTATAATTTACTCAAGAATAAAGAGGCCACACGGAGTAAATCAACCAGATGCAAGCACCTAAAAGCTGACAGCTTGTTTCCAGCCTGTTTCTTGGTATCACAAGTCCAATCTGTCCTACAGGAGTAACGCATGCCGGAGTAAATTATAAATTAGTCCCTTTAGTTTTAAAACATTAATTATTTAGCTTTTTATTCATTTTATGTTTTTTAATTTATTTTATTTAAAAAAATAAAGGATTTTACGAAAAAATTGATAAGAAATATATTTTTTTAAATAAAATAATATTAAATTTATGAATAATTCATACTGATTAAGAGACACAATAATTAATTTTTCAAACAAGATGGACTGATTGATTTATTTATTAAAATTAAAGGGACTAATTTATAATTCTCTTTGCATGCTGCATCACATCAAGCTTGCGTGACCATTGATGTACGCAAAGGAGTGAAGGACACACTCACTGCTCATCATATTGAAACGGTTCAAAGCATTTTGCTCAAATTCAAGACTTGTACTTCCCATCTTGTTTTCTTGCCAGAATATAAATAACATAGATATTTTTGGCTAAGATTGTAATAAATAGTGAATAAATGTAGCAAAGTGTAGAGATTTTACAAATGGATGATAATTAATGTTAAGCATTAAATTTCCTAAAAATCAAGTTCAAAATCAATATTAAGAGTACGATTATAAGCTTAAAATAAAAAGATAACAATACTAAAGGGAATTAGCTTGATCGGAAGATATTTTAATTTTCATTTTTGAATCTTTACATACGAAAAAAAAAATTTTGAGTAGTTATATTCGTCTTATTATTTGAGGTAATAAAAAAAAATTAGTTTAGATATTTAGGTTTAGAATGCTTTCGGAATCCAAAAAAAAAAATAACAACAATTATAAGATTTTAAGAATTGGTTTAAGATACAAATAGATTTTGGATTTTTTATATATATATTTACAAATAGAGAAATGTTTAGAATTAAATTTCACATTAATCAAAATTAAATTAATTATCTTTTGAATTAGATCAAAGACTTGACGTTTAACTATATTTTAGTTGTATACATTAATAATTTGTAAATTTCCTAAAAAACAGATTTCAAATAAACGACCCTCGTGGACCTAAATATTAGCGTATTGACATAACCAATGTAATTAGTTTCAAACAAAGTAACTAAAAGTTTTTGAGATTATAAATGTGGAATCTCTTTGCATGCTACTAGTTCCAGGGTTAAAAGGGTTTCTTAACTATTCCATGAAAACGATAGGAAAAGAATCAAAGACACCCTGATGGAAGAATAGTTTTGTCACAATTTCAACTCCTTTTAATAATGGGTTTTCTTCCCATATATGTTTTATATTTCGGATTTTTTTATTGAAATTTTAATTTTTTTTTATACAATTTAAAATTTTTATTTTTATATTATTGTTTTTTCAAACTCTAATGTGGTACGTAAGGATACGTGGTTAGCTCTATCTAATGTTAGCTTGTCAAATGTCATGATAAGTCCAAATTGAATTTTAACGAAAATAAAAAAACTCTTACGTAACAAGTTTTTATTTATTAGAACTTGTCATGGGTGATTACCTGGTATGTTAAGGTTTAAAACAAAAATAATATAAGAATAGAATTTTTAAATTAGACAGAAAAAAATTGAGAATCTCAATAAAAAAATTCGAACTATACGAAGTATTAACATGCGTAAAACTATATCATTAACTGAAGATTAAAATAATAAAAAAAGGAAAAAAAGACAAGCAATGCATCAACATCAAGATAAGACATTGATATTTATGAAATAAAGTTGAGTTAGCATCGAGTGAAGGAACTGGCTGAGATTGAAAGAAATAAAGGCGAGGACATGAACATTTTTTAGCAGCAGAGCCAACTAAGCTACGAAACTCTTTGAAATGGGACAAGTGTAGTAAGATCTTTTGGCAAAGCTATTTGCTGGTCCAGTGGAAGACAACCAAACCCTAGAGTGTTTTGTGCGGTTGATGTGATCTTGGCAAAGAAAAATAGATTCTGCTGTCTTTCATGCAGCTCATATTTATCACGTTGAAAGCAAGTTTCTATCGATCATGACCACCCTGTGGGAAGAATAAAGGATTATTAATAAGGATTTGGACTCAAGTCCCATTATTCCTTGCTTGGGTAATTAATCGAGACGAAGCTGAGGATCTTTTAGAAAACAACATGGATTATTGTCCACTAAAAGATTGATGTGATTTGGTGCAGTCAGTTCCAAATCGTGAAAAACTTGGAAAAACTAGCAATGAATTCACACACACACACATTCATATATATATATATATATATAGGTTGAGATTTAAGACTTGGCTAAATTATAAAATATTTTTCTTAACTTGAGTTAAAAATAAATACTTATGAACTAAAAAAAATTCTGACTTTAAAATTCTTAAAAATCCTCATAATTCCTTTCTTTTCTTTAATGATAAACATGCTTTTCTAAATTAGTGGGGAAAAAGATAGGAATTGAAAAAAAAATTCACGTGTCTTTCCATTAATTTTTTAATAGAACAATAACAGATGAGATATATTTTTAAAAAAATCATATTGATTAAATAATAAAATGTTGCTTAAATTGAGAAGGATATTTTACAATTTAACATTAAGATTTCTATTGAGAAGTTTCAAAACCTTGAGAATGATGCTACTTATAAATAAATGATCAAAATTTTACAGATTATCCTTACCACATTCGATCTTTTTTTTTACAGATTCCATGAAAAAGAAAACGAAAACATGCATAGAATTATTGAATTTTGGGTAAGCTATTTATCTCCCCATGATTGGCATGACATGATTACTGACTATCCTGTTTGTTCTTATTTCAAGACTGTATGGGTCGTTGGCCCATTCCATGTGGGCTTATGCAAGTTGTAATCGCCCAACAGAACAGGAATCAAAGCCCAGAAAAATTTTAGAACCTTTGAATTACTTTTACCCAGCCCAAATGGAAGCCCAATAGCCTGTATTATCAATAAAATCAATGATCTGATATTTTTACTATTCACATAAATGATACCTCTCCTCTCGCAAAACATCATTCAATTTCACATTAGTTGGACATCCACTGAGATGCAGGCTTTTATATATATATATATATATATATATCAAATACCTAACAATTCAAAAAAAAAAAAAAAAAAACAAACAAACAAGGAGGAAGCAAAAGAAAATCAAGACACATTCATTTCTTATAGAGCTTGCTTTTAGTTTTTGTTTCATAGTATATGATGTTGCTTTAGTCACTACCACCACCAGCAATACGGCCCATCAAGCTCTTTAGCTTCCGATAGTTCTGACAACGTTTTGCTCTTACATATAAGTTGTAAGTAACACAGGACAGGAGCTTAAAGCTTAATTTGTTGGCCACTAAACATGGTTGGGTACTATGAGCCCAACCACTTTTCTAACCAGAAACATGTGGAGCACCATGCTTGATAGGGAACGGAACTTGTCACAATCCTAAACTATACAGATTCACCATACACACTTAACAGTACAATCAATAACCATTTGGAGAATACACAAAAACTGTTGGCTCGTATGTTATAGGGGATTGCTTTGCATTTCATCTCAAATTGGAAAGCAAGGTTGCTAGAAACTATATATATGTTTATTTCAGTCTAGTGTGGATGGTTTGTCTAAAATGTGATAAAATATAGACTATTTCTGATGCGTAGAAATTAATCCTAAAACATCCTGATAATTAAAAGAAAAAATTACAACTTTAAAACCTAGTTCAAGTTCTTAAATTTGTAATCTTAAACAGCTAAACTGGACGTAAATACTTCCTCAACCTTATTCAAATTGTTAGGAAAGAAATCAAACAAGAAAATTGAAGAAAGATAAAAATAATCATACAATACGAGAGGTTTTCATGATTCAATAATTGTACTTACTCAACGATTATATTGGGATTTCTTATTAGATTTTATTAAATGATAGTTACAAATAGAAGTTGACTTTATTTATAATATGGGCAATTAAGATTAGAAGAAAAAAGGTCAAACGAATTTATACACCTAGTTCAATATTTTATAAATTTTTTGAGAGCGGAGCCCTCGAATTGCGGCAAAAGACGCTGCTCCTCGACCTTTGCTCGCTAACCGATCATGTACGTAATCCTTATACCATGAATTTTTATCCACATCAGTTTTTACAATTTAACAATTGAAAAACAAATAACTCATGAGGTAAAAAAAAATTTCTAATTTTACCTTTTAGATAATATGATTCTTTAATCTTTCTTTAGGGTTATGATAAAAATGCATGAAAATGCCCATACCAAACCTTCTAATTCCTCTTTTCTTAACAACTATAATGGGAAAAAAAATCTCATCTTCTTCTTTTCTCTTTTTCCCTCTAATTCTAAGCTCGTAATCCATAGAAGAAAAGGAAAATCAAAGAAAGTCCCATAAACATCTATAGGAAAGCACAAATTGAAAATCTCAATCAAATATATCTTTCAATTGTAAAAATTACACCAAAAGACATTCCGATCAGAGTTGTTATAGTGTGTGATGGTTGATGATAATGGAGAGAAAAGAGATAGGAAGCTGGTGTCGCTGGCAATGATGGAGAAAAAGGCTTGGTTCAGAGAGAGAGTTGCTTGTGGTGACGAGAAAAGAGGAATTACTGACGCTGCCAACTATAGTTGAAATTGTTGTTGTGACTGTAGAATGGTGGTGAGGTCAGTTGGCTCCAATAATGATGATTTCAGGTGTGTGGTGCGGTGAACTTTACAGGTGAAACGTCAATGATGATGGGAGTTCGGTGGCTCGTTTGTTTTTTTCTCAATTGCAGAGAAAAGGGAGGGAAATTGTAAGGATTTTTTTAAGACATTTTCGTCAATTTTTCATACAACCTTAAAAAAAAAAAAAGCAAAATTAAAAAATGTATTGTTAAGGAAACAAAATCAGAAATTTTTGTTGTTCAAAAAATATTTGTTTTGTTAATGAAGTTTAAGAAATATTTTATAATTTAGCCAATCTTATACCCAGATCTGGTGGCTTCGCAAATCAATCAGTATATATAAATCAAATAGTCTTGGCGGTGAAGCATATAAAAAAAATATTATCCATGCATGTTGAAACACTCGAATGCATCATGCATCAATCTATACAAGTCAATGCTTGCTACCGACTTTCCAAATTCTTAGGTGCTTGCTACCTGGATGCCTTGCCTCCATCCTGAAGCCGATGCAGATTTTATCACCATTTCACCTGCCGCCCGTATATTACCTACTCTAGGCCAATGAATAACTTTTATCTCGAGTCAATTTTTCACTTTTTGCAGGACAAAGATGCAGGTCCCTAATCAAAATAGTAATCATTCTGCCGATACGATTAATTTGAATGAAAATTACTTTAATCGTGTAAATAAATAATTTTGAATTTAAATTTTTATATATATGAAAAATATTTTGAATAATTATGCTCGTCTTATACGTTCGACTGAATAACGAAAGATAAATCTAAACTTTTGAACTTAAGATGCTTTAAGATTTAATAATGATAATAGTAATAATAACCGATCTATATTGTAACCACAAATCATGAGGTTGGTTAGCAAGTCCATATATTCTATGAATTCATTTGAAGATCAAGTTTTGTTTTACAATATCAAGAAGATATATTTTCATTAACATACTTGTCAAACCCGAACCTTAAACCAGGTTAAGTTTGTAATCAATCCAATCAAGTTATTGGTCTAGTGAAAACGATTATTGATAGGATCAAAATCGAGTTGGATAAAAATTTAAAAATTTAATTTTTACTTTAAAATGAAAAAATGAAATTTATGAATTAATTTGATGATCTACAAATTGACCCAATAACCCAATGATTTCAATTCTTAAGTATTCGTATTGATCGGATTTAACAAATACAATCATTAAACCGTAAAAATGAACTTAATTTCGATACATACAACTACCCCAAATCACCAAATATGAACTAAAAAGAAAAATATTATAACCACATGCAGGTGGTAAGCAAGGGGCATGTACGTAAATCTCTTTTTTTCATGGGAGGCCTATGGATCTATCGGTCTACACGATGAAGGTGGTCTTTCTTATTACATAATTATCAAAAAACCTTAGCGTCATCAAAACTTAGAATTTTTCTTCAATAAGAAAGGTAACTAAATACACAACTGCTAAGATAAGCCTCAGTTATGTATGAATCTTTAGTTTTTTCAAGAAGACTCTATGCTTACTTATTGGATTATGAACTGAAAATGCCGACATTTTGTTTGTTGTATCCAAGATGCCGGACAACATGGGATCCATGCATAAATAATTGACAAAATGATAACCCTAGTTCAACTGAAAATTGATTACCATATCCATGTGCTTCATATATTTGATGATCGTATCCATATATATTTTATCTTCGTGGTCATGGTTTAAGAGCTTCACGTGAAGGTTGTCCTAACATGAACTATTCAGAAGATCTTGACTCATGCATGGCCAAGAAAAGATAACAGAAAAATATAGGAACAAGAACTAAAGAAGTGATGGAAATAAATACAACAATTGGTGAGTGAATTATGAATTAGTTCTTTTATTTCTAAGAAATAAATAAATAAATTTTTCTTGTTTTAAAAATAAAATATTCAATTTTTTAACTAATGTTAGTCACGTTTAATTTAATAATATTTTATTTTACAATAAAATCTGATCAATAATTTCATGTTTTTTGTTAACTTTTTTTCTATTTCTTTAATAAAAATATAAGTTGAAGAAGAACGAAAAAAATTGAAGTCACAAGATTTTTTTAAAAGGGACTAATTATGAAATAAAAAAATTAATTAATTAATTTTTTTAACTAAAGAAACTAGTTTATAATTTACTCAATAATTGGTAGAGAAAAAGGTGTAATCAATGACTAGTTCGATGGATAAAAAAAAAATAAATAAATTTTAAGTGCTAAAACATAGTTGTGTGTGTGTGTGAAAATGTGATTTTTTTAAAGATAAATCAAATATATATATATTTTTAAAAAAAGCGGAAGAAGAAGAAGAAAACAATTGAAATGGATTGATGAAACGTGAGTCATGATTATGAACCTCACATGAAGTTCCTAAAATGGAGGGCGTGGCAATAAATATTACGGCTATAGAGTTTCATTGAGTTTGAGATTTTTGTTCAGATTGAAGTCAAAAGGGGTGCTTTTTGAATTTTGAATTTTGAACTTTTTGACTAGAGGGCCACCGTGGTGGGCGGTTGTCTTGCCATAATTATAGTAATATGTAGGTTTATTATCCGAGTAAATTATAAATTAGTCCCTCTAGTTTTTCGAAACAAATTAAACAGTCCCTTTAGTTTCAAACATTAATTAACTAGTCTTCTATGTTTTAAATCTATTTGAAATTTAATTTCTTCTTTTTGCTCATTTTCATATTTTTTAAATAAATCTAAAAAGAAAAAGAAAAAGAAAAAGTAGGAAATAGGGAGAGATTGATCTGAAAAAAGATATTTTTCGAAGTAAAATAATATTAGATTACTCTCATCAAATGACTAATTGATTAATTTTTAAAACAAGTTAACTAATTAATTACTTTTCAAAACTAAAGGAACTAATACATAATTTACTCGTTTTTTTGCATATCACCGACCAAATTAAGAGATTTGTTAAAGCAATTCAAGAACTCGGTGTTAGATTACTCTTATCAAATGACTAATTAATTAATTTTTAAAACAAGAGGACTAATTTGTATATAAAAAATATTGGAAAGTATATTCTTTTCAAAATTACAAAATCTCTAGTGTTTTATTAAGATGCATAATAAATTAAGAGATTTGTTAGAGCAATTCAAGAACTTGAAGGGGAAAAATTTAAGTGATTCCCCGATTTATTTTGTAATAATATGTTTTATTTATTTATTTTTCTTAACATATCGCTCATTATAAATATGAGTCATTTGTAATCTTTTCATATATCAATAAAATATAATACAATATGTAATTTGTGTCTTGAGGGTAGGTCACCAAAACGGAGCTATGTTAATTCTTTTGTCTTTAATCATTTATTCATTTTCTCGCTATTCAAAATTTAAGGAAAAAAAAAAGATAAGTTCATTTATCTAATAAATCTCTAGTGTTTTATTAAGATGCATAATAAATTAAGAGATTTGTTAGAGCAATTCAAGAACTTGAAGGGGAAAAATTTAAGTGATTCCCCGATTTATTTTGTAATAATATGTTTTATTTATTTATTTTTCTTAACATATCGCTCATTATAAATATGAGTCATTTGTAATCTTTTCATATATCAATAAAATATAATACAATATGTAATTTGTGTCTTGAGGGTAGGTCACCAAAACGGAGCTATGTTAATTCTTTTGTCTTTAATCATTTATTCATTTTCTGCTATTCAAAATTTAAGGAAAAAAAAAAGATAAGTTCATTTATCTAATAAATCCAAACTGAAAAAAATATTTGGATCACAAATGTTGGAATCATAGAAAATAAAAAATAAAAAACCTAGACTCATATGTATGAGAGATCTTTTATCCCACATACAATTTCAACATCATTAGGCATAAATGGACAACTGTATAAGCCCAATATTTTCCAGCTGGGGAATGCCAACTTTAATTTTGCTTTGAAGTTTCATCCAAAAGGGGCAAATAGCAGGTATCAATTTTGGGGAGGACCCAAAAAAAAAAAAAAAAAAAAAAGGTAGAAACCAATTCTGGCCATTGATCAACAAGGCAAACAAGACCAATCAAGGCAAATAAAATCAATATCCAGCCTTTGAAATGGGTCCAAGAAATATAAGTACATATTCTGCAGTTGCTTTCATTTCTATCCAACTTTTCCAAAGAAAACTACGATTCGAGTCTGACCAAATTCAATCCTTTGTATCCGAAGGCAACCTTTTTGAAATCGTGGCCACACTCTGAATCATCAAAATCTGTAGCTGTGGACTGGTAGAGGAAAAGGTTGGTGAGCAATGCATTCATGGGCCATGGGGAATGATTTTGGAGCCCACAGTGGCAGCTTTCCCTTCGCCACCGATTTTGCCATCCTTTTAGTTGAGACGATTTATGTCTGTGCTTAATATTTAAGAAAATGAAAAAGGTAAAGCTTAAACTTAGGATCATTTGATTAATCAAATTTTAATATTATGTTAAATAATTATTTTATTAAAAAGCTTAACTTATTAGATAAATTTTTAAGATATAATTTATATTATTTTTTAATAATCATTAAACCAAACACGATTAATAATACTATATCTATAACGAAAAAGCAATATCGATCCAGAAAAATAAAATTCTATTATTAATTTAATAGATGTAGAGTATGTGATTCCATGCTCTTCAATATTTTTTTTTTCAAAATGTAAATAACGTTTCATTAATAACAAAAAGATATAAGTACAACACTATTAATTAAAAAAATATTTTATTTAGTTCCTAAATTTTTAAATTTCTTTATGGCTCAATCTTTTTCGTCATTTTTAATTTATTTTATTTTTAAAAAAATTAAAAAAACAAGTAAAAACATGAAAGAGTAGGGAGAAAAAATAATATAAAATTAAACGTTGTCAATAATTGTCGAGAGATTAAATAATTAATTTTTGAAATAAAAAGGATTAATTAATCCTTTTTAAAACATAAAGGGACTAATTTATATTTTACTCAAACTTTTCTGGCTTTCCTTTCTCTCCTCCCCAAAAAAGAGAGACCATATTTATCACACGCGGTCCCTCAGCCCTAAAAGCTAGCAAGCACCCGCTTAATAACTGAACCTTCTTGGCTGTTTCAAGCCACACATCCACACGCTTACAGTAGAAAACAGAGATCTCTGCATATATATATATAAAGCCCACGATCCTCCCTCCATGTGCCCAAAGTAACTCATTTTTTATTCCCAAGAACATCAAACGAGCTCTTGTTCTTTGTTTTGCTACTCTAGCTGACTGTCTAGATAACATTTAGCATTTTTTGGTGGTGAAGTATGGCCAGGTTTGGTTTCTTTTTCTTGATTTTTCTTGGGATCTTGGTACTTCAAACCATGGCTGATAAATCTGAAGTTGAAAGTGATCAAGGAGTGAAGCCAAAAGGAGTTGAAGAAGAAGAGAAGCCTGCATTAAGTCCTCTGCAGGCAGAGAGAGAGTCAAGAGAAGGAGGAGGAGTAGCTGAAGCTCCTGAGATTAGAAAGCTTGGAAAACATCATTCATCTGATAAGTCTGTTGCTGGTGGAGGTGTTATCATTGGTGGTCTTGTTACTGCCATTTTTGCTGCTGTTTTTTGCTACATTAGAGTTACTAGAAAAAGACATGGTGATCAGGGTTATAAGTAATGTAATGGGGTTCAAAATCTGGTGATTCTTGTGGGTTTTTTGTGGTCTTTTTTGGGTGCTTTTTACAGTATAGAAAAGTTAAAGGAGTGATATTGATACAAATACATTATGTAAGGATTAGTATATTCTTTCGACGTTGTGAATATAGATTGAGATCTTCTAAACATTTTGATCATCCCTCTTATATTTTTAATGAGAAACAAAGTTGATTCACAAGATGCCCTTCAGTTTTTGTCCAGACAATCCTTTGATACATGGCATCTTGCGGGTAGCTCAGCTAATCAAATTTTCTTGGTAAAATCCAAATCAGTCCCTCAACTATTTATATCTGTTGATGATTCTGTTCAAACTGTGTATGTTCATGCATCAAAAGCAATACCATTTTGCAGGAAATTTTGAAATTTTTTATAAAAAGTTTCTGGAGAGTTTTAGATGCCCCTCAATTTTGAGTTAAGCTGTAAGATTTTCCTTGAGATTCTTGTTCTGCCACAGTAGTGAAGTACTGCTGATTTTGTCTTGTAAAATATAGCCAGTGCTCCACTTTTTCAAAAAGCTTCAGATCAGTCCAAAAAAAAGTATGGTGGTGTTCCATGTGGACTGCTTTGGTACTTTGCCAGTTTAAAAGTATTCCAAAAATGAGTGAGAACATAGCGTTGTGAAAACAAATAGTCCTATGGAACTGTTGAAATTTTCTTATGGGACAGTTCATGTTGAGCTAGCTAGCATTGCTGTGTCATCTAAAAGTTTGGGTTGGTGGCATTTTGGCAATATTCAATTTGGACTTTAAGAAATGGACTTGCTCCCTCTTTTGTAAAATAAAAAGAAGAGAGAGAGAGAGAGAGAGAAGATTGGGGTAAATTTCCCCAAAATGTTTTGTCCGTTTATAACTTTTTTTTTCTAAATTTATTTTAATTCTAAAAGAAAAAAATATTTAAACGGCGTGATATAATTATATAACGGTTAACATTTTGATGGTTGAAGATAATAAAAAAATACAACATTTGCTCGGAAATTAATAATTTTGACGCAATTCTAATAATTTGAAAGTAAATTTTGCTATTAAAACTTCTTATTTCTTTGTTAGTAAAATATTGAAAGTGCTAGGTTATTTTAACCAATAAATTATCAATCCAGTGGGTAAATAAGTCGATCATCAAATAAATTTTTTGTTAATGTATAGAGTTTTTAAATTTTAAAATCATATTTATTGAGAGGGTTTAAATTTTATTATATCCATTTCAAATATAATTAGTTTTATCTCCGATATCAAATAGAAATATCTTAAAAAAAAAAAAAAAAAGTACTCGACTATTGTAGATAGAGTACAGCGAGTTAAAGCAGTGCTCTATAATTCCTCCTTTTCTTCAGTCTTGGGTATGGGTTGGCAAAGCCAAACCAACCCAAATAAATGCCAAGATTAGTAGGTCAAGCTATCAAATGCTGGCAAGCCAGAACCATTACCACACAGCAAGTTTTCAACTAATTTTCCGTTTCTAATATATAAATTAACTAGGCCCTTGATTTGCTGGGCACAGAAGGATCACTTTTGTCATGTTCCCTTAATTGCTAGAAAATTATCCATGTCACCATCAAGACTAGGTTCTCACTGATACAAATCTTCCATTGACTAGAACTGAATCTGATGCCAGTTTTTGGACACAAAATCCAAGTTTGGACTTTTATCATGCCAGCACAGATAAGGCTGTGAGCTTCTAGACTGTAATTATCGCAAGAGGCTATAGGCTGAATCTTAGGTAGCCAGTGCATTTGAGCAATTAAACAGAGCATATGGGAAAAAGCTGTGCTCACAAGTCATAAAAATGGAAGCCATTTTTGAGACCAGCAGTAACTTGTGAGCATAGTCCACCGTCAACTAATTTAATCCACCAAAGAATGTGGTTTATAATTTATTAGTTTTAATTCTTTATAATACAAGTTATTTTGATTTTAACAAGATCAATATTCAATTTTTATTATATATAGATAATTAATAGTAATTACCTCTTAATCGTATCAAATTTATATTGATTTAACTTAAGAAGCATTTCAATAATCGATAAAAAACTAGACATATTCAGGAATTCATTTAATTCAAAAAATACTAAATTTATTTTTGATTAATACAAAAATTAATCCGAAGATATTTCATTGTTTGTAGAATAAAAAAAGAACATAAAACAACTCTTTAGAATGGTGTTATTTTCTGATCGAATTTGATTTGACAAAAAATCTAACACACACACACACACCCATGTATATATAGACTTTATTTAATAAAGACTGAAGTTAATTCAAATCAATTACATCTTAACAATTAAGTAGTTTTCTAACATATTGGTAATCCGATATTTGAATTAACGTGTCTTTCAACAAAAGGATCCAATGACTTGTTCAATATAATGTCATGAAAAAAAAAATTAGTTTGACATAAAAAATAAAAACTTAGAACTTGATTAAGAAATATTTTAACAAAAATAAAACTTTTTTAATTGGACTAGTTGAGTCAAGCGTAGTTTTTTTTTTTTTTTAAAAAAAAGAAAAGATAATTTGTAGGTTTGAACTTGGTACCTTCACTTTCTAAATTATGCATCAAATTCAATTGGAATTGATTATATCGGATATGCCAGGAGTCGGATTCTAATTCAGTTAGGACGAAATGTTATATCGGATATCTAGGGAGTCGGATCAAATTACCAACCCTGAAAGAACTAGTGCAAACAAATGTAACAGATAACAGACTCGTCCTTCATCCATATTTGAAAGCATCCGCATTTCGTCCCGTAGTCTCTTCTTCAATCTTTCCTCTCCGGTTACACATCTCTATTACACAAATACAAGAATCAAGAACTTCACAGCATATCAATGGCTTCTTGCTCCCATTGGTGGCATGCACCAATCTACTTCATTGCGTCTGCAGTCTTGGCATTCATAGCAATCTCCACAGCATTGAATTCACCATCCGAAAATGCAACAAGACCAATCAGACCAACAAGCAATTACCTCTCGTTGAATGCATCAAGAACACTGAGAGAATCTGGGTTCAATATCATGGCTACCCTTCTCATGGTTTCCCCTGAAATGTTCTTTTTATCTCCTAACACAACCATCTTTGCCATTAAAGACACTTCCCTTGCCAACACCTCTCTCCCTCCTTGGTTCTTGAAAAACCTCCTTCAATACCACACCTCTCCTTTGAGACTATCCATGGAGGATGTCTTCAAGAAACCTCAAGGCATTTGCTTCCCAACACTTGTTGATCGGAAGAAACTTGCTGTCACCAAGATTGATGCGAAAGAAAGACTGGTAGAGATCAATCATGTAATGGTATCACACCCTGACCTTGTTCTTGAAAGACAGGTTGCAATTCATGGTGTTCTTGCACCGTTTTCATCACTAGGGTCTAAAGACATTTTCCTTGGATGGGAGTTTGTTCAAGCTCCAATTTGTGATGTCAATTCCAGTTTAGTTTCAGACGCTAATGACCCCAGGATCGTTTCTGAATGGACCAGGATTATCCATTTGCTTAGCTCCCACAGATTTGTTTCATTTGCAATTGGATTGAATTCTGTTCTTGATGGAATTCTTGTGGACCATAAGAACTTGAGTTCTGTAACAATCTTTGCTCCTCCAGAATTTGAGTTTGTGGCATCTTCATCACCAATGCTTGAGAAGATTGTGAGATTGCACATACTGCCCCAAAGAGTTACGTACATGGAACTTGCTGCATTACCAGATAAACAACGGCTGAAGACTCTGCTCCCTGATGAAGATCTTGAGATTACTAATGGTGTTAATGTGACACAGGGTTTCGCCATTAATGGAATACAGATTGCAGCACCAGAAATCTTCTCATCCAAGAAGTTCATAGTTCATGGGATTCCTCAAGCTTTCGAGACCACTAATTTTCATAATACATCAAGATAACAGTTAGCTTCATTATACCTGTTGACAAGCCTTCCTTCTGTTCATCCATGTTCCTGATGCAAAGTTCAAACGCAAGGTCCAAATAGACTAGTTTTATTGTTGCTCCCCCAGGTGTAACAAATCCCTTAGGGCAGTTTTTGTTAGCTGAATGAGTTCTATTGAACTGAGATATAAATACTTCATTGTATTTGTAGTTTTTAATTCAATCATGATATTTCGTGCTAATGGGTTTACAAAATTCTGAGACATCTCTATAGAGTGGGATTGGAATATGGGCGACCTTACACCCAAGAAAATTTTTTGCAGGTTGTCTGCTGGAGACCTTGCAGATAAAACAACTTAACCAATTGATCTTCATTTTGGAAAGGCATAGCTGGTTTAGCGCTTTGAAAAAACTTGGCTCAGTGAAAGGTTTAAGAGGTGTAAAGCTTTGGTGAATAGAGTGGTGAGGGTCATAAAGATATGGTTCTAACAGAACAGCATACAGAATCAAAGATACAGATCGAACAAGCGGATAAACATAATAACTTGGTCTAAAAATACCTTTATTGATTCAATTCAATAATGAAACTAGAAAGAAACACCGCAATGTACCATGAATTACAGGAGATTTACTTTTGCTGTTCAACACTAATACTGAATCTTAAAAATGGTATGGCCAGTAAAAAAATGGATATGCAAGCAAAACAAAATGATTGTCTTGTATGTACTCCAGGAATAGACGGCTGGGATTAATATTCAAGGGCCAAATATATCAGTAGTCTGTATGAAAATCTTACTGAATTTTATGAACACTTCGAATGAATGCTGTGTCATAAATCTGACACTGACGCCATTTATCTCTGAAAAATCAGGTGTCCAATGGCAAATAGCGACTTCCTCCTCAATGACAAACTCCATTTGCTAAAGCCGCAAAACAGTTGAGCTTCACTCCAAACATATTGCTGATCATCGAAGGAAATATTGTATTTGACAACACTCAATTGGCTCTTTTTGTTGGACATCCATTGATTATGCCTCTTGAAGCCCTTCTTTGATTGGTACAAAAAACTACAGAAAAGCAATTTTCACAAGCCAAAGTCATTTGCCAACTCCGGAAATAGATTCAACATCAGACCATATAACTATCTTCTCATAAGGCAATACTCATTTACTAAGTGACCAAAATCATATGAATTCATTTGTAAATTGTTACAATTATATCTAAATTTATTCATACTAGTTATGCACATCCAATCGCTAATGTTCATAATTCATGTGTAAAAAACCAACACAAAAGTTACTGAACTGAGAAAAGAACCAGCACAGCAGTCTGCTGATTCTCGATTCTCCAAGGAACAAAGACATAAGCTAGAGACACATGCAATTCAAATTTAAAGAAAACTCTCGAGTTAGATTCAGAACTGATACAAGTTGAGTCACTTCAAGAGCTTGAAGAAACATGAAACATACAAAAACTGATTCCTACAATATTAAATTCTAAAAAATTCATGAGCTTATTAAAAGCGTCAATTATCCAATGGTCAAACAATGTTTCCCTTTTCTCTTCCCAATTGAATTTTCCACATCCACTGCCATTTGCCAAAGATTAGTAAGATTCAGTTTTGGATTGATATCAACAAGGACTAATAATTCTCATTACCAAAAACGAACTACAGTAACTGTCAAATCCTCCACAGAATTATAAAAATAAATTAAAACCAACCCCAAAACTGATGCAATTAATTCAAATCATGGAAAAAAGAAGCATAATTACCAAAGAAAATCATGAAGAAGAAGAAACGCCAACTCTCATAATGATCCTGGTCATCCTCATCCCAATCAATGTAACGTTCTCAGCCCTAATAAACATAGACTTCCTAAACAACCCAGCAATTGCATCCACCTCCTCTCCACCACACTCCTCCACAACCACAACGCAAACCCCACCATTCCTCACAGTCCTCTCCATCTCTCCAACAAACCTTAAAGGAAACAAAGCCTCTTGTAAATGAGCACTAAAAGCCAAATCAAAAACCCCATCGAAAAAGGGCAAGTTATTAGGGTCAGCCCTTTTAACTAATGGCAAAGAATCCACTATCTCAACACCAGTAACATCACTAACTCCCATGTTATTCAATGCCATCACTTCATGTCCAGCACCAGCTGAAACACAAAGTACTTTTGTTTTATTATGCAAAAGATTCAAACTGTGAAAGAAAGTTGTGAAAGAAGAGACTTGTGAAAGCCAAGATTTTGAGGACCAAAGTTTCAATCTTTTCTTGGTAGGATCAATGTAAGGGTGGTTTAAAGAAGGGTCACATGTAGAAGAAGGGAATTTGAGGTGGGGTTTTGTGATGGGTGTGTTTGGTGGGATACAAGTTTGTGGGGTTTGAAGGTAAAGGTAAAGAAGGATGATTGTGGCTATGGTTATAAAAATCAATGAGAGCTTGTTTAAGAAGTTCTCAATGTGTTTCTCCATTTCGGTTTTTGGGTTTGGTTTTGTCAGGGAAGGAGAGGATATGGAAAGTTCTGATAAAGAGGGATCCAGATGAGAGAGCTTGTGGACATGACAATGGAGTTTTTGTTTGCTTTGATACGATGTCGTTTCATGTGACAGAAGTTTGTTTTCTACGATGTTATTAACAACACGTGACTAAACACAATAAGAAAAAACGAAGACATACTAATTAAAATTAAATAATAAAAAAATAAGTTAATATATATAATTTTTTTAATATATTAAGACCTAACAAGACAATAATGCAATATTTATCTAAAATTATGTAAAAATCTGAAGCAAAGTATCTAACAAAATACAACTAACTATTAGAGTAATTATCGGAAAAGCCTTTTAAAAATATCTTTCGTCCAAAAAACTTATGAATTTATCTTTAAATATCTCGAATTTAAAATAATATTTTTCTTATTTGACATTAATAATCAAATATGAAATATTTTGATAAAACAATTGGTTTTATGTTTGAAGGAATTAAAAATAAATTGGTGGATTCTTTGGATGGAAGATTGTTTTAGAGGGATTTTTGATAATTGTCTCTAACTTAAATGAAAATCATTATCTTACCATATATGTATTTGTATGGTGGATGCTCGTGTTTTATTTATTTAGTGTATCAAGATATGTTATGCATTCATTGCATAATTTAATTTAATTGCTTGATAAAAAAATGTTAAGTTTGGATTAATTAAAGACTAGAACTATTGATTGTGGTTTTTTTTCTATCAATATTTATGAGATCACTAATGTTTACAATTATACATATCATTGATTTTCTTATATGTATGATACCTAATAAAATAAATTACAAGATGATAATCCGAGTCCATTTTATCAATATTAATTAGTTAAATTACACCGGTTGTTATAGCTACTAGGTAATATAACTAATTCTTTAGTTGATATAACAAATAGTCGATAAAAAAAAAACTTTTACGGAAGAAATTGTTGTGTAATAAGTAAGAAAATAATCACATATTCGTAATGCTAATTCCTCTAAATTCCAATTTCCAAATAATCTCTGGCAAATCTGGTGGTAGGCATGTTGCAGAATATATAGTGAAATTTACTGTTTTGTCTCCTCTAGATTCCAAATAATAATCTAATATTAAAGATATAATAAGAGTTGATTCGCACAATAAAAAGAAATATTATTTAATAAATTTGTACAGAAATATATATATATATATATATAAATTACAATGGAAAGAGATTTCTAAAGAAAAATACAAGCACAAACATGAAATGCTAAATATTAGTTCTGAAAAATATTAATAACAGCTAAGAGATTAATAACAATATTCGTAATGTTTCATTCTCACATTTCGTTACAATATAAATCAAAATATTATAAAATAGTTGTTTAACCTGATTGACTTTCAATCAAATATTTTTTAGTTAATAAAAAATATCACTAAATTTCAATTAATATTGTTGAAAGAAGCTTGGATAGATTTGGATCTCTTCTCTTTTCTAAAGTGCATCCATCTAGATTGCATCGAGAAAAGATAAAACCAAAATTCGTAATACTTCATCCTCACAATCACCGACTATGCCCGATTAATACAAGGCAAAGCATAAAAAATATCACTGAAATAATCATCCTTGCCCTTAGACCTCATACTAATAGCATCAAAACATAAAAGAGTTTCAACCAAACCCAATTGCTGTTCAAGACGAAATATTGAGTCTGAAGAAGACCTTGGCCTAGTGATTGCCATTGTTGACTTTGTTCTCCCTTGAATCAAAGAGAACAAGGTGATGGTGGGTCTGCTTTAATGTTGATATGAGGCGAAGAGAAGGGATGAAGATGATTGAAGCTATGAACTTGATAGCGGCCGGTTATGCCCTTTTATAGGACCAAAATTTGCCAGCTAGGATTTGGGGTTTAAATGCAAATTTTGTGCTTTGATTTGACAATTCCATATTTATAGAAACAAATCTCGTATTTTAAATTTTAAAATATGAGAGATTGAATAAATATGTTTTAAATTGTCCAATTTTCATTATGTATGACTAATAACTCAATTGATCGTTACTTGAAATATTAAAACGGTGTCATTTTGACATTTCGTAATTAATTATATTTTTTTAATTAAAATATTTTAAAAATATTTTTAATACCTTAATCTTGAACCTTTTTTTTATTTTTTAATAAAATATTATAAATATTTTATAAATTACACAAAAAATATTTTGCGGTTAAATTTTTTTTGCGGTCGGTTATGTCCTTTTATAGGACCAAAATTTGCAAGCTAGTTTTGGGGTTTAAATGCAAATTTTGTGCTTTGATTTGATAATTTCATATCTATAGAAACAAATCCCGTAATTTAAATTTTTTTGTGAATAGAAAATAATAATGCATCATATAAGGGGAAAAAAACCCCGAAACTTCCTTCGTTCAAGATTGAATTAACGGATTGCATTACCAAACTTTATTAATGAAAAATCTCAACAATCTAAAATCGCCAAAAAAACATCAATCTCTTTTAGCAAATTATACAATTTTTTTAACCAATAAAAATCATCTAGAAAATTGTCGATAAAACGGTGTCGTTTAGACATTCCACAATTAATTATATTTTTTTAATTAAAACATTTTAAAAATATTTTTAATACCTTAATCTTGAACCTTTTTTTATTTTTTAATAAAATATTATAAATATTTTATAAATTACACAAAAAATATTTTGCGGTTAAATTTTTTTTGCGGCCGGTTATGTCCTTTTATAGGACCAAAATTTGCGAGCTAGTTTTGGGGTTTAAATGCAAATTTTGTGCTTTGATTTGACAATTTCATATCTATAAAAACAAACCCCATAATTTAAATTTTAAAATATTAGTGATTGAATAAATGTGTTTCAAATTGTCCAATCTTCATTATGTGTAAGCATTAACTCAATTAACCGTTAAATTGAAATTTTAAAACGATGTCGTTATGACATTTTGATGTTAATTATTTTTTTAATTAAAACATTTTAAAAATATTTTTAATCCTTTAATCTTGAACTTTTTTTTTTATAAAATATTATAAATTATATAAAAATATTTTCAATCATTTTTTTTATAATTCATAAAATTAGGGAGGTAAACCCTTAATTATGCTAATTTTAATTTATAAAATATTTTTAAGGTCTAAAATTGTGTATTGTTAATTATGTTTTTTATAATAACATTTTATAAAAATAAGAAGTTAAAAAATATGTATAAAATATTTTTTATATAATTTATTAAATGTTTATAATATTTTATAAGAAAAAATAGTTCAAGATTAAGAGAGTTTAAAATATTTTTAAAATATATATTTTTTAAAACATAATTATTAGTGGAATGCCAAAACAACGTCACTTTGACATTTAAAGTAACGATCAATTCAATTGACCATTACACATAGCAAAGATTGGACAATTATAATTAAATTTTCTGAATCTCTAATTCTTTGGAATTCAAATTATGCAATTTAGTACTATGGATCCGAAATTAGCAAATTGCAATAAAACGAGAGCAAAATTGTCAATAAACCTAGGGTTTGGTAAATCAGAAAAATATATTAGAGGGACACATAATTTGTCTGGCACACTTTGTTACTTATGTGTGCAAATTACTATTTGATCCCTTATTTTATTAATTTCTGATTGACCTATAAAATTTTATTTTAATATCCGTACATAAAGTTGATTTATGCAAATTCTTATATCCACATTAATTAAGAGATATTTTAATATAAAGAATTCGATTAAAAAAGAAAAAAAATTCAAAACTCATAGTTAATTTTATAATCACTAGCTATTTATTTAGTTTTGATTGAAAACAAGTTTTAAAAAGAATTTTTATAGATTTGGGGTGAAAATAATTTTGACAGTGGTCGCATGGTGTTCATTAGGAATTCACAGCAGTGTAGCTTAGCAACTATTTAAATGTGAAATAACATGAAAATGGTAGCAATGATATCTCAAAAGGTGAAGATGATACGCTCTCACTCCTTTTATTTTCTCTTTCTATGCTAAGATCTAATTATTTTTCCTTGAATAATATTAATTAAATAAAATAAGTACAACTAAATTCAACAATTAAAAATAATAATTAAATTCAATTTATTTAAACAAATTCTTAATGCTTCATTATCACAATAAATGATTACGCATCATCAAAAAGTTGAATTCAAGTAATACTATTGAAAGATGCTACCTACCCATTGAATGAAGCTAAGGCATCAAAAAAATATTATATTGTCTTGGGACAGATTTCAAGGATTAATAGTCTCAAATGTCCATGACTATGCAAGAAGCCAAAGCACCAACCATATCACTGGTTGAACAGATTGAACCATACCCGATTGCTGTTGAAGATGAAACATTAATTGAATCAGTAGAAGCTAGATTAGTAGTGATTTACGAAGCTTATTTTAGGGTTTTAAGTGGTTAAAAAAAAAAAAATGAAAAAACAGGATTAAAGTTGGAATTTACATATTAGTATTTGAGATTTAAGGGTTTCAGTAAAACCATTCAACCAAAGGATCCAACAAATCTGCTGTATTAACTTTAGCCTATACAAAATCACACAGAGCAGCATTCATGCTATTCTCTCATTCAGCAAATCAATCAGAAAGCAGGCTATCTGTTGATTCAAGAAGAAAGAGGTCAACAATGCAAGAGGATGTTCAATTCTTTCCTTATTATATGTTTGATTGCAGAAGAAAAAGGTTAAAAATGCAGGAGGATGATGTTCAGTACTTGTTCTAGCAGTAGCAGGAAAGTATATCCTCACTACTTTCCTTATTATATGTTGATTCAAGAAAAAGGTTAAAAATGCAGGAGGTCGTTCAGTACTTTTCTTATTGTATGTTGATTCAAGAAGAAAAAGGAGAGTTTGTATGCAAGTTTACCCATCTCTTTCACAAAGAAGCACCAAGTCATTGCCTGGATAATCTTACACTACCATAGCCAACAACCAAACCAAATTGGATAGTAAATTTTCAAAGAGAAAATGCCGAGAGTCTGATGTTAGCTAATGCAAATAAATAAAACCCCATACAATTTCTTTTTTATTTTGTCGAAGCATCATTCTGAAAGAATCTACAAACAGATCTCTTGAGCTTAATTCTGAACAATCTATCTCTTGATCATAATTCTGAAATCCTCTTCAATCCAGCCGGTCAATCCATCTCTTCTATATCATCATCTGTTGAGATTTAGTCTGAAATCCTCTCAGTATTCAACTAATAAATCCATGTTTGCAAAACCATTGATTATTATATAAGTAATCAATAAGATTAAATAATCACTGACTTTGCAAACAAGAATTAGTAGCTAAATCGTAAGTAGGAGCTCCTGTTTATGTTATTACAAGAAATCTTGTAACAATTTCTCTATCACTAAATTATATTATCTTTATAATACTTTAATAATTTCTCTCTGCAAACAGTATCTATCCATTCGCAAGCAATATCCATGCATTTGTAGATAGTAAGTCACGATTATAGATGAATAACATTTTAGAAATGATTTAACAAAATCATATTCCATTTGTTTGCAGAAGGAAATCAAATATTCGTAATGTTTCATTCTCACAAAATGATAATTATAAACGATTATATTGCAGAATAAAAAGTAAAAACCATCTAAATAAAAAGTAGACTGCACCATACCCGTAGAGAGTTTGTGAGATGGAGGACAGGATAGGAGATTTGCAGATGACGGCCGACTGCTTCCTTTCCTAATCATGTCATTTTATATGGACAAAAGTGTGTCAGCTAGGGCTTCGATGGGAGTGTTTAGTAATTTCACAAAAGTTAAACCCTAAAAACTAATCTTTTGTGAAGTAAATTATAAATTAATCTTTTTTTTAAAAAAAATGAATAAATTAATTTTTTATTTTAAAAATTAATTATCGTATTTCTTAATATATTTATAATTTATTTTTTTATATTTTAATTTTTTATTTTACGAAATACAAAATATAAAAAAAATTGATGGGTAAAAACATTTTGGTAATGAATGCTTTATTTTTATGAGAACACAGAGTAGAAACTCTGACATACCTAATAATTTTTTTCAACAATAATATTTGTTTATTGTATAAATTTGCAAGCTAGGATTTGGGGTTTAAATGCAAATTTTCTACTTTGATTTGACAATTTCATATTTATAGAAACAAATCTCGTAATTTAAAGTTTAAAGTATTAGAGATTGAATAAACGTGTTCCAAATTGTTCAATTTTCATTATTTGTAACTATCAACTCAATTGACTATTATTTGAAATGTTAAAACAATGTCATTTTGAATAAACGTGTTCCAAATTGTTCAATTTTCATTATTTGTAACTATCAACTCAATTGATTGTTATTTGAAATGTTAAAACAATGTCATTTTGACATTCCGCTGTTAATTATATTTTTTTAATTAAAATATTTTAAAAATATTTTTAATCCCTTAATCTTGAGCTTTCTTTTTTATTTTTTTATAAAATATTATAAATATTTTATAAATTATATAAAAAATATTTTGTGGTTGAATTTTTTTGCGGCCAATTATGTCCTTTTATAGGACCAAAATTTGCAAGCTAGTTTTGGGGTTTAAATGCAAATTTTGTGCTATGATTTGACAATTTCATATCTATAGAAACAAATCCCATAATTTAAATCTTAAAGTATTAGTGATTGAATGAATGCGTTTCAAATTGTCCAATCTTCATTATGTGTAACCATTAACTCAATTAATCGTTACTTGAACTATTAAAACGACATCATTTTGACATTTTGATGTTAATTATATTTTTTTAATTAAAATTTTTTTAACCCTTTAATTGTTTTTATAAAATATTATAAATATTTTAGAAATTATATAAAAATATTTTCAACCATTTTTTTATAAAATATTATAAACATTTTATATAAAATATTTTCAACCATTTTTTTATAAAATATTATAAACATTTTATATAAAATATTTTAGAAATATTATGAATATTTCGGCTAAAAATATTTTATATGATTGGAAATATTAATAAAAAAAATTGATTCAATATTTCAAATACGTTCAAGGTGCAATTGAAAATAGACTATGAGTACTATTTGGGTTGGCGCAAATTTCTTGCTTTGCTAGTTTCTTCTAGCTAATGACAGAGACAAACATATGGCTCTCTCCCTGCCATTTCTTAAAAAACCTCCAAACAAAGTCTTCTCTTTCATTGCTCTCTGTCCCCATCCCTTTAAAATCCGACCGTTATATCCTCCTCGATTTAAATTTCCCGCCTCCACTCTCAAATTCATCAAAACCCATTTTTCTTTGTCTCTTAATTTAACCACCCACTTCAACAACAACGACGATCGCTACACTGAAAATACCTTAAAACCTGACAAATTCTACGCATCATTAATCGATAATTCGGTACACAAAACCCACTTGAACCAAATCCATTCTAAGTTATTAGTTACTGGGTTGCAATATAGTGGTTTCTTGGTAGCAAAATTTGTTAATAAGGCTTCAAATCTAGGAGAAGTTAGCTATGCACGTAAGGTGTTTGATAAATTTCCAGAGCCAGATGTGTTTTTGTGGAATGCGATTGTTAGGGGTTATTCTAGGCATGGTTTGTTTGGTTTTGCTATTGAAATGTATGCTAGAATGCAAGTGGCGTGTGTTAGTCCTGATGGGTTCAGTTTTTCTTGCGTTCTCAAAGCTTGTAGTGCCTTGCTGGCGCTTGAGATGGGGAGGAGGGTACATGGGCAGATATTTAGACGAGGGTTTGAGTCGGATGTGTTTGTGCAGAATGGTCTTGTGGCATTATATGCGAAATGTGGAGAGATTTTGCGAGCTATCGTTGTTTTTGATAGGCTAGTTGGTAGGACTATTGTTTCTTGGACTTCAATTATTTCTGGGTATGCGCAGAATGGACAGCCTCTTGAAGCATTGAGGATTTTTAGTGAAATGATGAAAATGAATGTGAGACCAGATTGGATAGCGCTTGTGAGTGTTCTTAGAGCGTATACAGATGTGGAGGATTTAGAACATGGGAGATCTATTCATGGTTGTGTGATTAAAATGGGACTTGAATTTGAATCCGATTTGCTTATTTCCCTTACCTCTTTGTATGCAAAATGTGGGCAGGTTACAATTGCGAGATTGTTTTTCAATCAGGTGCAGATTCCAAATTTGATTTTGTGGAATGCAATGATTTCTGGTTATGTGAAAAATGGGTATGCTGAGGAAGCTGTTGAGCTGTTCCGTCGAATGATAAGTCAAAATATAAGACCAGATTCTATTACCGTGACATCTAGTATTGCAGCTTGTGCACAAATAGGATCTCTTGAATTAGCAAGATGGATGGATGAGTATATCAGCATGAGTGAATTTACAAATGATGTGATTGTTAATACTGCTCTCATTGACATGTATGCAAAATGTGGAACTGTAGATATGGCTCGCTTTGTTTTTGACAGAATACCAGATAAAGATGTTGTTGTGTGGAGCGCAATGATGGTGGGATATGGATTACATGGGCAGGGTCAGGAATCTGTCAATCTTTTTCATGTAATGAGGCAAGCTGGGGTGTCACCAAATGATGTCACCTTCGTCGGGCTCCTCACAGCATGCAAAAATTCAGGTCTTGTAGAAGAAGGATGGGACCTCTTCCACCGCATGAGAGATTATGGGGTTGAACCAAGGCACCAACATTATGCGTGTGTGGTGGATCTTCTTGGGCGTGCAGGCCAATTAGATAGAGCTTATAATTTTGTCATGCACATGCCAATTGAACCAGGTGTAACTGTTTGGGGAGCACTTTTGAGTGCATGCAAGGTCCATCGCCATGTCTCACTAGGGGAATATGCAGCTGAGCGACTTTTCTCATTAGATCCATATAACACAGGGCATTATGTTCAGCTGTCAAACCTCTATGCTTCAGCTCGGTTGTGGGATCATGTTGCAAAGGTACGAGTGTTAATGAGGGAGAAAGGACTTACCAAGCACCTTGGTTATAGTGTGATTGAGATCAATGGAAAGCTCTGGGCATTTCAAGCTGGAGATAAGTCGCATCCAACATCCAAAGAGATTTTGGAGGAAGTTGTGGATTTAGAGAGAAGGTTAAAGGAAGCTGGATTTGTCCCCCAAACAGAATCTGTCCTGCATGATTTGAATTATGAAGAAACAGAGGAGACACTTTGTAATCATAGTGAGAGACTAGCGATTGCTTATGGGCTTATCAGTACTCCCCCGGAACTACCCTTCGGATAACAAAGAATCTTCGGGCATGTGACAACTGTCATGCTGCAGTCAAGTTCATCTCAAAGCTGGTAAATAGGGAGATAGTTGTAAGGGATGCAAATCGTTTTCATTATTTCAAGGATGGAGCTTGTTCTTGTGGAGATTATTGGTGACAAGAATGGCTACATCTTGAGCTTATCCCAGAAGCTTGGTTAGTGATTTTTTTGCCTTTTCTTCTTCTAACCCGAACCTAGCCCTAACCTGACCAATGAACAGGTCTACACGCAGCAGCCCACAAGGTGGCCTTTTTTTCTTTGAAAGGTGACTAACAAATTCTATGTAAAATAGGAAACCAACAGTTATTAGGAGATGGAATCCTTAAAATATAAGGATTGAAGATTAATGCTGACCTAAGGCTGTTTATTTCAAAACATAAATACAAAGCTAGCTAGCTATTCAATCTCGGCAAAAACCTAGCGGAAACAGCATCATTGGCAACAGAGCAGAGAGATTGGGCTGCAATTCCCAACCATGTACTTTCGACCTACTTCTATGGCTCCCCACTAAATCTGTTGTGCAATTCAAGTGCGTTTGCAGGAATGGAGCTCCATTATTAACAGTAGGTTCTTCATCAAGAAACACTGTGAAATCGTCAGCAAAAACTTGACCTGTGGTAACAGCCATAGACTCATCCTTTCACATGGGTTTTCCATTCATTCCATCAACAAGGAAGAAGAATACTGTTGTCGAGTTAAAGCAATACATCTCAAGTTTCCACTGAAAAATATCCATGATGATGTGTACATGATTTTCGGCTCTTGTAATGGGCAGTTGTCTATTGTTCTTTGGAGTGGAGATGTGATTGTGTTGTGGAACCCCTGTAATGGGGATTACAAGAAAGTTCCGCTTACTTGCCCTATTGCAAATTTCGAGCATTCTGATTCATTCGGGTTCGGATATGATCAATCTACTGAATTTACAAGGTTGTTAGGTTGTTTTATGATCATGAGTTTTTACGTATGCACCATTGCGAGGTTTATAAACTGAAAACCAAGTCCTGGAAGAAGATGCCGCATCTCCCTGGGGATGGGCATGTATATTGTCCGTACCAAGGGATTCTTGTGAATTCTGTGCTTCATTGGCATATGATGATGTATTACAAAAGAAATCAAGTGGAAGATGACAACGAAATTTCTAACTATGTTCCAGCTATTTTTTGCTTTGATTTGGTCAAGAAAGTTTTATTTTGTTTCCACCTGGCTGGGTTATGGATAAGATACCTGTACTTATATAGGGGAATTTTGACAGAAACCTTGGTGTGTTTCTATACTATAAAGATTCTGTTCAGATTTGGGCACTGAATTTGGAGCTGAGTGAAGATCGAAGAAATGCTAGTTGGACATGGTTGATGACCAGTCCATCTCCTGATAAAGAATCCCCAATTTTCACCGCTTTGACACCAATTTGTTCTATGAAGAATGGAGAAGTCCTCTTTGTTTACAAGGTGGGTTTGAAAAGGAATAAGAAATCATCCCCTTTCCACTTATTCAATCCAGAAGAAGAGGAATTTAGTGAGTTTAGAATTAAGGGCTGCAAGATTTTTCCCAAGTTATTGCTTACACAGAAACTTTAACTTCACTGAGTCACGATTGCGCCAAAGAGAGGTTAGTTAATAACTTGAGTTTTTCCTACTTTAATTTTTTACTTGTTTATATTCATGTCTTTGGCTAATTCCTTGCTCTATTCTTGTTCCTTTTAATTATGAAAACTTTACCTCTGTCTTCCCAGAAAATCGCAAAGGATGAAATTTTGTGTTCTTTTGGGATTGAGGAGTACTAAGATTTTAAGGTTGTTGAAGGACCAGACTTAAAAATCCAAGCATTACTGTCCTATTTATTGTGAATGGAGCTGCAGACAAAATTCTTGTATTCATAGTTTTTCTTTTGTCGGTGAACTTGAATGCAACTGTTTTAAACACTTAAGAATTTCCTGGAATTTCTTTTACTTTCATGTTACTAGCCACTCGATGTGTAATTTTTAAATTTCTTTTAGCCGGAATACACACAGGAAGAAGCTCAGGAAGCTTAACAAGAGAAGGTTATCGGAAAATCAAAAGGGGATCGAAAGTTCAAGCCCAGCAAAAGACGAGTAAAGGTTGTTTTTGGCATCTGAGAACTTAAAACTCATCTGTATGAATCCTCAGAAGAGGACTGAAGAAGGTTTACTCAGATCAGAGATGAGCTGCATACATATTTGTGCTCGATGAATATCGTGCTTTAGTTTTGTCTTTTCCTTTTTTCCCTTCTCATTCCGTAGGAAGGAATTCATTTTTATGGTGTCACTCAATATTTGATCGTAATTTTTTTACTTCTAAGACAATTTACTTTCGAATTTACACCATGATTATTTAGTGCACGATCCTGACATAGTTTTTGGTCTATCTGCATTTGACGTCAAACGAGTTAGTTCAGATAATGTGGCTTCTTACTGAGTTATGCTGAAGATACTGCATTCTTGAAGACAATTCATTTTCAGCTTCTGACAGAAGTGATGGTTTAGCCAGGTGAGAATCCTGCACGCTCCCGGGTTGCAGTGAACTGGAACATAAAGCTAGAGGGTTTGTGTAGTTATTCTGCAGTGCATGTTGGGAAACTTGTTAATTCTGATTGACTGGAACTTTGATATATTTTGTAAATAGTTCGTTTGTAAAGCAGATAGAAAGTTTAGGTCAATTCTTTAATGCCGATTTTCTCTATGGCAATATTTTCTCTCGTAAATCCTGCTAGTGTTAAGGATTTATGCTGAATCTTGAACTTTTCAAATTGATGGATTGAAAGGATTGCCAAGATGAAAGAATGAGTCTACTTTGTACTTCAGAATGGAGTTCCATTGCTTTCGAACACACCTAATCTTCACATGAGATTTAGTTGCGAGGCATCGTAATATATATGTCATAATGCAGGTCATCAGGAATTGATATTGCTAGATTTCTCTGTCTCTTTTGGGGTTCCCTCCTTGCCTTTGCTGCTTTCCAACGCCATTGTCTGCTTCTTTGACAGTGTAGCTAGAAGCTAGGTCTTTCTCTGCAATAACATCTGGATCCTCAGCAAGGCTTTTATTAAGGTTGACTTTCGGCATATAAGGAGAAGAGGAAATGTAGTTTCTTATTCCTTAGCTAAACAAGAGAATTTTGTTTTCACCTTCTGCCTCCCTTTCCCCTCCCTGTGTGCCTTTGTCCTTCTGTCTTGTTCAGCTGCAATCGTTGTGGTGGGGATTGGATATGCTGATTTCTGGAAATTTCATGACGATTGATTATCAGTGGATACCCCTTCTCCTAGTGTTCTGCTGTCGCTACTGTTTTTACAACCATGTTCGCTATTTAAAACTATGTTGCTGGCTTTGATGCTGTTCTGCTTTGATGGCAGCAAAGTCATGTCTGTAAGATTTTGTCTTGGTTCGCAGGTTTATTTCTCAATGGAATCGGAATGTATTCTGTATTCTGAAGATACTACATGCCAAGTTTAGCTACTATTATTCGCTACGTAATCAGAATTTGCTGCTTAATTGCAATGAAAGCTCGGAGTCTCAGCTGCAAAACCCTAGCCTAAACCACAATGGCAACAGAGCAGAGAGATCAAGCAGAAATTCCCAGACATCCTTGAATTGACCTAGCTAAACTCTGTTGTAGAAAGTATAAAAAGCATAGAGAAAGGACAGCTTCGGTTGGAGTCGTTTAATCACTATCCTTAAGTATATTATTTCGTATCCCCTAGTATTAAACCAACCCTTTGATAATTAAAACCAGGAACATAAACAACATAAATAATAAGAACCCATCAAAGAACTTTGAAGGAGAGGGAGAAAGGATTTTTTTGTGTGTATTCAGTAAACCAGGAACAGAAACAACATAAATAATAAGAACCCATCAAAGAACTTTGAAGGAGAGGGAGAAAGGATTTTTTGTGTGTATTCAATACTAGCAGTAGAGATGGTATTTATGGGCTAATGTAGACTAATTTGGTGAGAGGACAGCAAAAATAAGTGTTATTTTGAATAAGTCCGGCTTAAAAGAAAAAAAAAAAGTCTTAAATGGTTGAGCTTAAAAAAGACATAGATTGGACCTTGATAATGCACGCAAGGGGGCAAATGGGCCATTTTGCCTTAGCCCGGCTTGACTCATTTGTACACGAGTTCAATTCATCTTACTTGTTTTTTATAAATACATAACATATTTCTTTTAATAAAGTGTTATCTCATGCTTCTTCTTTACCAACACGAGATTAAAGGTTTTGATAACCTTTTGAAATACTCACGACAAACTCTCTATGTGCACTGCAAAAAAAACTTATTCCAAAATAAATCGAAGTTCCTGGCTAAACCATCACTTCTTCTGTTCTGGCAACAGCTGCAGATGAATTGCCTCCAAGAACGCAGTATCTTCAGAAAGCTTTGGACGTTCATGTCCCCTATGTATCAAAATTTCCAGTAGGTAGGAAACAACAGATCTCTACATATTGATGGCACCAATGGATAACTTAAATCTTTTGCAGTGGAAAACTGGAAATTAGACAAAGCTTTGCTAATCTCCGATGGCAGCAACAAGTTGTGCTCGTCTTGCACTATGCTTCAACTTTAGAACCCTCTTGCATTTCCCATTCCTTCTCTCGTTAAGCTTCTTGAACTTCTTCCTGTTGGAGAAATTAAGCAATTACAAGCAGATGAAATATTCCAAAAGATGCTAATGTTATACGTAATTCTATTTCATCTTAGTGACTTGTGCAGAAGATACTGCAAAATTGAAGTTACGGAAATTTGGTACGCCCCTTTCACTTTGGGCGGAAATTAGACGGAAGGAAGAAATTTCTTAGTACAGGGACCAAATAAAGAAACAAAAAGAAAAACGTGGACCAAATAAGCTATTAATCCTTCAAAAAAACAAGGCATGAGTCATCCCAAACTGTGTCCTTCAAAAAAGGCCGGTGTTCCTGCCGACAACTTTAAAGACAGTGAAATGGAAGAAACCCCAGAACATGACGCCGCCGCCGCCGCCGCCAAGAACTTCAACGATCTCCCACAAGACATTCTCCTCCACATCCTCTCATTCCTCCCCACACTAGACACAATCAGAACAAGCCTAATCTCCACAAAATGGAAGCCTCTCTGGTCATTAGTCCCATCTTTAAACTTCTCTTACGTTCACTTCCCTCCTTACAAAAGTTTCTCCACAACCCGCCAATTCTTTTCGGAATTCATCGACCGTACACTCATCATGAGACCCCAGTTGCCCCTCAAAAAATTTAGGCTGGAATTCATCTATGAAGATAGGTATGGCTGCCATGTTGACTCTTGGGTACGTTATGCAATCAAGAATGACGTTTTAGAACTTGATCTCGATTTCTTTATTGATAAGAGTTTTCATATTGGTGAACCAGAAGCAAGGCCTAATTATGATTTCCCTTTTTCTGCTCTTAGAAATGGTAAAGTTAGAGTCTTGAAGTTGTGTTGTTGCGATTTGACATTGCCTGTTAATATGGAAAGTATGAATCTTTGGACAATGAAGGATGTTTATTTTGATCAGATTTATATGACTGATGATGTGGTGTTGGATTTGTTCAAAGCTTGTCCTAATATCGAGGTTTTGAAGTTTGAGGATTGCTATGGGATGGAGAATTTGAGGCTTTGTTCAGAGAAGTTGAAAAGGTTGGATCTTTTGTATTTTTATACTACTGAGAGGGAATTGTATTTGGAGCTTGACTGTCCTAATCTTGTTTGGTTGAATATTGATTGCGTTGAGGTGGGGCAGTTTTGTGTTAAGAATTTGTCTTCTTTGGTTGAGTTTCATACTTCTATTGTGCATAAATTGGAGCACTATGGACAGTGGTTTAAAGTTGTGAAGCAGCTTCATCGAATTGCTCACATCAAGCATCTCGTGGTTCAAAATTGGTGGCTTAAGGTATTGCTTTGCAATTTTTGTGTTTGTATTCATTTCTGACTGAATTGTTTAAATGTTTTCATTGGTTCTGACTTAATTGTTTAAATGTTTTCATTGGATTCAAATGTTGATTTATGTAAAACTAAGTTGGTTGGTCTTGTTCTTCACAAGTAGATGTCAAATGCTTCCGAAGAGGGTTTGGTTTTTCTTGGAGTGACTTTGTGAGAAAATGCATTATCTAAACGTGGAAGGAGGACTAAGAATAAGTTCCCCAAGCTTGTTATGAAATGTCGATATAGGTGGGATTGGTAAACTTTGTTCGTTTGAGATTTTCACGCAATCTCTTGCTCATCATTCATTACTTTGTATATACTCGAGTTTTGTTCTGTGCTGAATAGATATTAGGATTATGTTAAAGGAACTGATCAGGAATGGCTGTATGAGATTTTGCCAGTGCATTAATTTCCCAAACAGCTAAATAAACTCTTTTAAGTTAAAGTTCACCACATAGCTATCAAAGCTCAAATATGTCCTTTGAGTAACTAGAGGTCGAGGATTAGTCATGTGCAGGATGGGCATTGAACATTATTAACAACTCTATTCCATTCTATAACCCCTTTCTCTATGCTTGTTAGTACTAGGGGATTCACTGTTTGAAGCAAATATTTGTTCTTGCGGTGAGCCAATCATGGAAACGAATGTGTTTGTATAATATGTTTGGTTATCAGATTCTTTGCCTAAAGTACTGGAAAGGGCTTCGCTAAGCAATATTAAGACAGAAGGCTGAAGAATTCAAGAAATAGATTGCTAGGAAAGCCATGTTTGCATATCAAGATAAGTTTGACTATCATTGATGCTATTGTCAATCTTTTTCATGTTTAGACTGAAAATGCACTGTCACAAGTATATTGAATTTTAAACAGCCCACTCTTGTAATCAATGCTCTTTATCTCTTAGTTTGGAGCAGCTGATGTCATTGTGATTGTAACATCAATAATTATTGCCAAGTTTTCTTGACAGGAAGAGATTATTATTTGCTTTTACTCCTATGTCAGGAGCAACTTGAGAGTGGCTGCCCAAACTTTTTTTTAAGTTGATTATCTAATGAAATGTTCATATGATTGCTTTCATTGCATGATGCTGATTCAAAAAGCTTGCACCCAAGGATGTTTTTCCTAAAGATTTTCTTCTGTACAATCTCAAACATTTAGAGCTACAAACCGGGTATACACAGTATGATCTTCTTGGCCTGGCTGCATTGCTTGAATTTTGCCCCAATCTTGAGACAATGATCCTCAATCCCCTTTACAAGATAGATGATGATGTAAGTATTCCTACATAACTTTTTTGCAGTTCCAATCGGCAATATGTCCAATTCAGACCACGTTTGCTGTTGTTTTTACTATCTTGTGAGAAAATAAACCATGTTTCTCATTTTCCAGGAGAGTTTATCAGAAGAACTCTTAAATAAACCAATTAATCTCAGTATGCCTAGCCTCAAGGAAGTCAAGCTGAAAGCAATACCAGGAGAAAATCAAAATCAATTTGCTCAATTTTTGGCCCTCCTGAAAAAGCAAGGAGTTGTCCTAGAAAAGATTGTTCTACTAATCCCTTTGTATGATGGGTTCTCATCGTCTCCTATAGTTCTGCGTGTAAGCCCTCCAAGAGCTGACGTTAACGCAGAATTTTCTCTGCATTTTGAAGGAAACCCTGATCAGTGAGATTCCCATTTTTCCAAAGGATTTCTTCATCTGGTGCCTACATATCCCTGGTCAGCTCATACTGAATTTGTTTTGCTGTAGCCCTTTGTCCAATTGGTTCTCCATTTCTTAATAAGTTTTTCGTAGTTTCTCGTGATATTTTAGGAATCTTTAGAAGCATTTAGTTGAATTTTGTGGATGATCATATATTTTCTGTTCCAAACATGAAACACTGGATATTTATGTTTGTTTGGCCTTCCATTTATGTTGATGTGTGAATTTGGAACTTCTGTTTCTTTTCTTGCTCATGATACTCTGATATTTTGCTTAGCATAGACCTTCAGTCTCTATAGACAAGGTTACACTTGTAGAGGACAGTGTGTATCATCTGGAGGACTTGTTGGCCTTGTTTTATGCTTTGCTTGCATGTATTTCTTCCATGGCCAAGGAAGGAAGCTCATGAGGTCATTCTAGGATTAATGTCCAAGATCCTAAAGTTAACCACTTATGTTTATGTATTTTAATTGGGTTTCCATTTTGTTTTTCCGGTGAGTTTTTCCGACCAAACCATTGAAAAAAGTGACGTTATTCGTACATGATTAATTTTTTTTTTAATTAAAAATACTTAAAAAAGAAGAAGAAGTGACTTGTGCATTTTTGAAAAAAATTAATCTCATGCAAGTTATATGATTTTTTTTTCCCTAGTAGTTTGGCTGAAAAAGTTTATTAAAATTACAGATTAAGATGAAAGCACTCACTTCTTTTGAGTAAATTATAAAGTAGTTCCTCTAGTTTTTCAAAAGGAATTAAATAGTCATTCTTGTTTCAATAACTAATTAATCCATCTTTATATTTTTAAATTTATTTCTAACTTAATTATTTTCATTCATTTTTAATTTTTATAAATAGAAAAAAAAGTAAAAATATGGAAAGATTGTAAGAAAATTAGACATATTTTAAAACAAAATAATATTAAACTAATCATGATCAGGATAAGAGACTAATTAATTAGTTTTATAAAACTAGAAGGACTAATTCATAATTTACTCACTTATTTTAGAACAAGGCTTAGAGGATTTCAAGAACGAGGTGATTTTGATTGCTAGACCGCAACATCGGATTAAAAATGATGAAAATGATTAAATTTCAAGAAAATTTAAAAATATTGAAATTACATAATTATTCTTTGAAACAAAAAGGACTAGTTAATTCTTTTCTTAATACTAAAGGGACTAATTTATAATTTACTCATAAAAGTATCCTTACGCCTTTAAGGCCCACGGCTTGATCTGTGCAGCTAAGAGAAAAGCCCAACAAGCCCTAAACCTTCCCTTACCCAGAACTAACCAGACAGACTTCTCTCACAAAAACCAAAGTCGGCGCCTTTCTCTCTAACTCCACCACCGCTGCTGCAAAACACCGTGAGCAGCCACCAAAAAATGGGAAGCGGAAGAAGAAGAAGCGGCGGCGGAGGCAGAGGAGGTGGTGGAGGTGGAGGAGGGGGAAGAAACCAAAGACTACTGAAATACCACATAGACACTTGCAACAAAAAATTCACCACAACAGACGACATAGTCCACCACCTCCGCAACCAATACTCCAATTACCGCCGTATGGAGCTCAAAAACCTAACTCGCCTCGTCCAGCAAACCCTGAACCAACAAACACCACCGCCAAAGAAATTCAGAAAACACGAATTGGAAACAGAATCTGATTCCGACGAAGAAGCAAACGCTAGCACGCCTGTGAGTAAGAAGCAGAAGCGAATTGATGAGAGTGAAGAGAAATTGATGCAGATTGAAAGCGAGTATTCTAGAAGAAGGAATCGAAATCGGAGCCCAATTTCGGTTTCGAGTTCGGAGACTAGTTCGGAGTCGGAGTCGGATTCGGGTTCGGGGTCGGATTCTTCGACGTCATTGGAGCCACCTCCGAAGTTTGATCTGATGAAATCAATTTTAAGGGAAAGTTATGGGGCGGTGGAGAAAAATATGGAAGTTGAGGTTGCTAATGATAGAAAAGAAAGTATTACTAGTAAAATTGACATGATTGAGAGGAATAGAAGTGTAGGAAAGCGAAAAGGAGAGGACTTGGAGGTTAATTTGGGGAAATTGAAAGGTAGGGTTGGTGAGGAAGTGAAGGGGAAGGAATGGGGACCGAGGTTTAAGGATTTGGCGGGATTAAGTGAGGTTCTGGAGGAGTTGAAAATGGAGGTGTTTTTGCCATTGTTTAATCCGGATGTGCCGTTGAGACTTGGGGTTAATCCTATAAGTGGGATTTTGTTACACGGACCGCCAGGGTGTGGAAAGACTAAGTTAGCTCATGCTATTGCGACTGAGACTGGGGTTCCGTTTTATAAGATCTCGGCTACTGAGATTGTTTCTGGTGTTTCAGGTATGGACTTTTATGAAGGAATTTCGATGTGGGGTTTTAAAAGAAATGTGGCCTTTTGATGTTTACATGTGTTCTGTTTCTTGGTTTTTGCTGGATGTCATTCATTTTGTTCTTGGCTTGCAATTAGGAAGTTGGAGAATGCCTGTACTCAATTTTAAAAATGCAGAATCATGATGCTATTTGCTTATTTTTTCTTTACTGGTAGTTCTAATCTTCTAGATTATCTATGGTTTGTATAAATGTAGAGTCTTTTTTTTTTTTTTTAATGGTTTGTGTAAATAGAGGATTTTTAGTGATCAAAGTTTGATTATAATGTTTTGTGATGTGGTGTTGAGTGTTTGAATTAGTTTTGTGGTTGTTTCTCTTGGATACCATTTGTTTGTTTATTTTCTTGCACTAAAGAAGTCAGGAAGTTTACATGTGCAGTATCAGAAATGCAAAACCACGGGGTTTTTTATGCCTCTTTTCCCCTTGACAATCTATTCAAAGTAGTTTTTGGTTTGTAGAAATGTAGAACTTTTACTGGTTATAATTCAATTATCATGCTGTTTGGTGTGATGTTGGTTTTTATTGTCTACCATGAGGGAATCCCACGATGGAAAAGCTTCAAGTGAAGCTACCATGGTGACTGACATTGGTTCATTGGGGAATCTCAGGTGCATCGGAAGAAAATATCAGAGATCTTTTCTCTAAAGCATACAGGACTGCACCATCTGTCATTTTTATTGATGAGATTGATGCAATTGCTTCGAAGAGAGAGAATTTACAGAGAGAGATGGAGAGAAGGATTGTGACGCAATTGATGACTTGCATGGATGAACATAATAGGCAACGACAACCATCCGATGACAATTCAAGTTCAGAAAGCTCCAATCAAAGAACAGGAAATGTTCTTGTTATTGGAGCTACAAATAGGCCTGATGCTGTTGATCCTGCACTAAGGAGGCCTGGAAGATTTGATCGCGAGATTAATTTAGGTGTTCCGAATGAGAAATCTAGGGCTGAAATTCTTCGGGTGCTTACTAAAAATTGTACTCTTGAGGGTTCTCTTGATATAGAAAAAATAGCTAGGTCTACACCAGGTTTTGTTGGAGCTGACTTGAATGCTCTGGTTAACACGGCTGGTAATCTTGCCATGAGGAGAGTTGTTTCCCAGAGAAAATCCGAGCTATCAGGACAATGTGCAGAGATGGAAGACAATGATGATTGGTGGAGGAAACCTTGGTCGCCTGAGGAGATGGAAAAGCTTGCCATCACAATGGCTGATTTTGAGGTAATCTGGAATTGCACTATCTGTTATTGTGTCAAGCTTTTACCTCAAGATTGGTGTACTTCAACTTCTGTAAAAACCATTATGTTTCCTTTATTCCTTGGTTTGTTTGACATTAGGATGAAAATTCAACCCCTTTTTTCTCTTTCAGAGAGCAGCTAAGCTAGTTCAACCGTCATCGAAAAGGGAAGGATTCTCTACCATTCCTAATGTCAAATGGGAAGATGTTGGTGGTCTTCATGATATAAGGGATGAGTTTGACCTTTATATCATCAGTCGTATAAAGTATCCTGAGGATTATCAGGTATCTGTTACAGTTCCTCTGTCCCCCTTCCTCTCTTTCTTATTTATTTATTTATTTATTGCTGTGTCAATTTCAAAGTTCAGCCAATTTATATATTTTGATTTTCCATCAAATGTAGTCTTGGCAATATAATTGTATCTTTTCAAAGCACTTTATTTCTCTTGATACATGATTCACATTATTGATGTCTAACAAAGACAGTATTACTTTGTTGGATTTATGCTTTGTAGTTCTCTTTTTTCCTTTATCTTGTTATATTTGTTCTAAACAGCAGTTTGCACTAATTATAGCCTCACATATGTTTTATTTACTTTTTTCTAAGTTCTGTATTTAGCTTGACAACATAGTTTATTGTTGAAATTTGAACTGGTTGATTCGCTTACTAATCATGCAAATTATTTGCATCTTCAGAAATTTGGAGTAAATTTAGAGACAGGGATTTTGCTTTATGGACCTCCTGGCTGTGGCAAAACAATGATCGCCAAGGCTGCTGCTAACGAGGCAGGAGCTAACTTCATTCATGTGAAGGTGAGTCCTTCCAGTTATTCTCTCGCTCAACCTGTTCTGTTTAATTTTTTTATTTTTTTTTATTTTTAAACTCAATTCTGTTCGGTGCCTGGATACCAAAGGGCTCTTACTGAATCTGAAAGCTTGAAACATTAATGATTGTGAGTTCCATGGTTTATTAGGGTCCTGAACTTCTGAATAAGTTTGTTGGGGAAAGCGAACTGGCAGTTCGGACGTTATTCAGTCGTGCAAGAACATGCTCGCCATGCATAATTTTCTTTGATGAGGTTTGTGGCTCTCCTTTCTTTGTATTTATTGGTATCCAGCTATTTAATTTGATATAATGGAGACCTACATTGGAAAGATAGATGACTAAAATATTTGGCATTTCCCCTACTCTAATGAGCTTTGAATTTGTCAAGTATGTTGGAAATTCTACAGTACCTTGTATTTACACTTGTTTTTTTGCTCTTTGATCTATTGGACTTTAATTTCTGAGATATAAATTTAACGACCTGTAAAGTATTCATTGGGTTTTCTGGCTGAGGAGGCTTTCTTCACATGGTGCGCTGCTGCGTTATCTGAAGTTCATTAAATTTGCCGGTTCTTTGGAGCTGATTCTCTTTGTTTTACGTAGGTTGATGCTTTGACTACAATTCGTGGAAAAGAAGGGGGATGGGTTGTTGAGCGGCTTTTAAACCAGGTCAATAACATGCAATGACGTCATCTGAATTAAAACATCTGTTTGCTCTATGTTCAATTTGTCATCAACTTGTTTCCAGTATATATTGAATGATTGTATTGCTTGTCAGTGCAGTTGCTTATTGAGTTAGATGGTGCAGATCAGCGCCCTGGTATTTTTATCATTGGTGCCACTAACAGGTACACCAATCTCTAACTTCTCTCTTCCCTCTCTCCTCTCCACTCCACTTCTCTCATTGAAGTTGGTGTCTCTGGTGGCAGACCTGAGGTGATGGACCCTGCTGTCCTGCGGCCTGGTAGGTTCGGCAAACTTCTTTATGTCCCTCTGCCAAGTTCAGAGGACCGTGGATTGATCTTACAAGCTCTTGCCAAAGGAAAACCTATTGATCCTAGTGTTGACTTGAATGCAATTGGTCAAATGGAGGCTTGTAAAAATTTTAGCGGGGCGGATCTTAAGAAGCTGGTTAGTCTATGCCTTTTTTCCCCCCTCGTTTTCAGAGCTGGAATACATTCTAAATCTCGTGCAACTTTAAGAGGTCTTACCTTATTTGACTGGCCTTCGCTTGTTAATGATCTTGGGTTGGAATTATTTGCCAGATGGACGAGGCTGCAATGACTGCTTTGAAGGAGATCAAGGGACAAAGAGGTTTGAATAGGACTTCAGGTACAATCACGGCTGCCGAAAACGAGCCTAAAGCTAAGATCACAGCCACTCATTTTGAGGGCGCACTGGTTAACATTTCACCATCCGTCTCAGAGAAGGTATGGTGTTCTCTCTTATTGGTGTCTGATAATAGACAGTAGAGATCCTTGCCGATGTCCCTCTAACCCCTTTTTCTTTGTAAGCAGCAAATAAAATATTACAAAGCTTGGTCAGAGAGTTTCAAGGCATCATAAACCAGCATTTGATGCTCGACAGAGGATTTCGATCATGAACCTAAAAGATAATTCATTGCTTGCTTCGATCTGTGGGTGAAAATTTTGTTAGACGTTTCACTCAGAATTTAGTTGCACTAAGTTATGTGGAAGGTAGGAGAGGCTGTCTACTGTGTGGAAATTTTGTTTGTTTTCTTGTTTTTTAATTTTTTTTTTGCCATTTTCTTCTCGTCAGATGCTGGTTGAGGCAGATAACAAAAGCCCAACCTAAAACGCATACGTTACCAATACTCAGGATAAAACGAAAAGAGTGCCTTGTCGTTTCACTGAGAAATCAGAATCCGGTTTGTTTTTCCTTTTTTTTTTTTTTTATTCACCTGCTCTTTTTTTAGCGAGTAAATTATAATTTTTTTAGAAATAAATTAATTAGTTCTAGTTTATTGATTGATATTGATCATGTTTAATTTAATGTTATTTTATTTAAAAAATAATATCTTTTCATTTTTTTAACTTATTTTTCTATTTCTTTAAAAGGAAAAAATCAAAATAAAGTGAAAAGGAATGAAAAGAATTAAGTTATAACAAAATTTAAAAATGCAGGGATTAAATAATTAGTTTTGAAAAAAGATTAACTAATTTATTGTTTTAAAATATGGAAAAAAAATGTCAACATATATTACAGAAAAATTAATGAGAAAAAAAGATATTTTATGTGAAAAAGTAGTTAAACGTTGGAAACTAATTAATTTGTTTCAGAGATTAATTTATAATTTACTCACCTTTGTAAGGTATACATTATAAAACATCGGACAAGCAAGATGGGCCTTTATCAAGCCAGCTCAATCCGATCACTTTGCCCCAATATTTTTTCTTCAGATTAAAATCTGTTTCTGAAGCCCACTGGGCCATATCTGGTTCAGGTTTTTCTCAGTTTCAAAACTGGTAGCATATGGAGATAAATAACACAAGTGTCTATGTTTTGAAAATTTTTACAATTGAGTCTATCAACATTTATTTATTTTTTTTGAAATGGATGTATTTGTTCTTGTAACAATCAAGTGAAATTTTTGAAGAGGTGACGTATGACATGGAAATATTGATGATGTGTCATTTAAATAATGACGTGGCAAATTAAGAAAAATAATATTAGAGGGAAATTTTCCTCTATTTTTTTCTTTACCTTTCAAGAATATATAAAATGCAATTAAAAAAAAATCTAACCTAATCACTTAACACTTCTCTTCTTCTCTAACTGTTAAATTTATATTTTTCTTAAAAAAAGTTTAAAAAAATAGAGGAAAATTTCCATTTTTCAACCTTATCCATAATTTACAATAGTCGTCTTACTTTTTCCTTCTTTTTTTATTTTTTTTATTTTTATTTATTTATTTTGGTAATAGTTTTGGCAATCTAACAAAAAAATATTAATTTTATTTCATTCAAATTAAAATTATCATGAAAATTATACTTATTAACTAAAAAAAACAACACATCATATATATATATATACACGCCTCGATAGTTGTTTATCAAAATTGTTCTTCCATGTTATTCGGGCTACATCATCACTAATTTGCCACGTCATTAATGAATATCTATGTTATAATTGCCACCTTGTCACTTTGATGACATTAATGTTTTCATATGGTACATATCATCTTTTCAAATTTCACTTGATTATTACAATTTTAAGAGTTCATACATTCATTTGCAAAAATAAATTTTGATACACTCGATTGTAAAAGTTTTTAAAATACACACACTTATATGTTACTATCTAGAGTATATAAATGTCAGTTCAAACAGAAAAGTGGATTCCTATCAGTAAAATTGTTAAATTTGACAATCTTGATAAACAGAATGTGACTAATGTCTGGCAAAACAGACCCTTCTATGATTTGCTGTTGGATTTGTTTTTGGCAAGCATTATCGAAATTCTTGTATTGGTAGGCAAGTAAGTATCAATAAAATACCAGTAGAGCCAAAAACAAACACCACCACTCAATGCCTAAACAACTTACTAGAAGAGATGTTACCCGTTATAGTTTTAAATCACATACGCAGTTATAATTATGGTTGCGACAATCATGAACGTGGATTATAATATTGGTCACAACAACCGATGTCATGAATATTGTTAATAAATTTATTTTTAATAATTTACTAATTAAGTATCATAATATTTGCAATAGCTTAATATCACATAAATGAAAAAAAAATATATTGCAACCTCAAGTTGTACATTAAAAAATATTCATTTCCAAAAGGATAATCATACTTTCTTTTTTAAACAATAATATAATGGCTATTACCATTATATTATTATATTAAGCCGTTATTGATGTTATTTGAATGAAATGCTTTTGGACTCTGTAAAACATCGTATAATAAAAATTAATGAGTATACATATTACGTAACAACCATTATTTGAAACTATGCCCTCTCTTTTCTTCCTACCAAAACTGCCATAAATCTCTCCTCAATACATTCCACAAACGGCTTAACCTCTTATACAAACTCTCTTGTCTCCACTTCCCTTACCCTTCCTCCTCTTTTGCCGAAGGTTCCCTTTCTTTTTGCTTCCGAATGGGTTAAAGACTTGAAAGCTTGTATACAACAAATTTTCATGACTAGAACATAAGGTTAGTACTGTTTCTTGTAATGACTAATGGTTTGGTGTGTGAATTTGTAAACATTGTCTATGGATATGTGTCTTAGATTGAAGTATGCGAAGATCTATGGCTAAACCATACTAAAACATCATGAACTTTTGGTCAAACTAAGATAGGTATTTAATCTTTAAAAATTCTAATTTGAATACCATGAAATATGTTTTTGATAGATGATAGGTTTCTCCAACTAGTTTTTTGGTGATGATCGCACGGAAAATCACATGATAGTCTTAAAAAATAACATATGTCCTACTAATCGAAATTTAAAATATAATATCCAAAAAAAATATCAATTAATTGAACGTAAATTATTGTTTAAAACTGTCACTTGAACTTCATGTGTATTCAATACTAAAAAACTAATCGGATAAACCTATTATTTATCAAAAAATAGTTCATAATCGTAAAATTAAAATTTTTCTGAAACCTATCTCAATTTGATCGAAATTTCAAGATGCTTTTGAATTATTTAGCCAAGATCTATTTATTTGAGAGTTATTTACTGAAATGCAAGCGAATGATGGCCTTTCTTCAGCTAACATGTCACTGAAGGCTCTATCAGTGATAAAGGTATTCTTCCTTTTTTGATTCAGACACCTATAATTTCGACAATCATTGACATCTTTATTTTCTGTCACATCCCACTTGAAATCTCCTATTTTCTGCCTTGTCAAGCAAACTGGTCACTCCAGCATTGCTAAATTTCCCTCTCCATTGATACCCTCTGGCCACCTTTTGAAGTAAGACAAGGTACTAGATACTAACCTAGTTCGTAACTAAACTTGTACATTACACCTAACTTGATCCTTTTCTCACCGCTATAAAAACCTCAATCTAGCCCTTCTTACACATCAAACACTTCTAAATAAGATCGAGCTCAATTTGCATTAGCATTTTGGGTTTGTTTCAAGAATTGTATCCTTGAAGCATAATGATGAAGCAACAGTTCTTGCTCGCCTCATTTTCAGTTTTCCTTCTCTCCCTTCACTGTGCCAATACCTTTGCTCAGTCACCAGTTGCAGCACCGGCACAGGCACCGGCAGCGGTTGTAGCTCAACCTCCAGCTGCAACCCCAACACAGGCAGCTGCACCACACGGCATCACTAACGTCACCAAAATCCTCGAGAAGGCTGGCCATTTCACGATCTTTATCCGCCTTTTGAGATCCACACAGGAGGAAAACCACTTATTCTCTGCCCTTAACGATTCAAGTTCTGGTCTAACCATCTTTGCACCAACGGATAGTGCATTTTCGGAACTCAAATCGGGGATTCTCAATACTCTGAGTGATGGGGATAAGTCTGAGTTAGTGAAATTCCATGTAGTTCCTACTTTCTTATCGACTTCTCAGTTCCAGACCGTAAGTAATCCTCTCGGAACATGGGCTGGAACAGGTAATCGGTTGCCGCTAAATGTGACAAGTTATCCAAACTCGGTGAACATAACCACAGGGCTTACCAATACAAGTTTATCTGGCACGGTATACACGGACAACCAGCTAGCCATTTATAAGATTGAGAAGGTGTTACTTCCTAAGGACATTTTTGCTTCTAAGGCTCCAGCTCCAGCACCAATGGCTCCTGCACCAGAAAAGCCTACGAAGGCGGTTCCTGCAGCAAATGTGGAGAGTCCTGTGGCTCCTGTTGATACATCTGGTGCAGTTATATTCACGCGTAATAATGTGGTTGGATCGGTTGGTGTAGTTGCTGCTGCATTGTTTGCTTTGTAATGTAATCTCGAGATGAAACGGGGTTGGGTCCGGTGACATTTGATTTTTCTGAGTTGGATTGAAAGTATGGTGTGTGTTGAATTATTCTGATTTTACTTTGAATCTAGTTTGTATGGTTTGAGTTTATGATTAAAATTAAGTTCTGAGATTGCACCCAAAATTCCTGTTTCCTCTTCTCCTTTCAAATTCTTTCTCCATCTCTGTTATCATGAGTGGATTGATTATGCCATGAAGTTCAATGAACTAGAAATTCACCTAGGTTTCTCCCGATTCCTGGTCGATAGTCCTTTCTCTTTCTTTATGCTCAGAAATGGATGTGCTAAAATTTTGAGGCTTAAATATTATTTTTGGTGCAAACAACTTGGTATTAACATTGCCTCCATGGGGTTCAAATACCTGGGATCGTGTTTCTTGAACACTGCCTTCTACCAGATGACTTTGTGTTGTCGGTGATTTGATTTCTGGATGTGTGAATTTAGAAAGCATGTCTTTTGAAGGTTGTAGGGAAATGGAGAATGGAAAATTTGTCCCTAATAGCTTAATTATGAGCTAAAACTTAGTTTCTTCACTAACAAGAAAGCATTGGTTGATATTACTTGTCCAAATCTTGGATGACTAGAGACTGTTCAATTTAAGGTGGGGATCGAGGGGTGGTTTCGAGGACTTATCAGGTTTCATTGAAGCAAATATTTCATGCCAAGCATCTTACTGTACCATATTGGGAAGAGAAGAAAATGCTAATTATCAAGAAATTAGGCTTCTAAAACAGAAGAATTTTTACTAGAATGCTACATTCAGTTTAGGTTAGCCAACTTCTGGTTCAGAAAGAATTTCTGTGGAATATTAACTGTCAGGAACTAAATATAACGGGCAAGCTCATGTCTTGTTATATGCAGATGCTTGCTTGTGTGAGTGCAGGATGATAATTCCAGTTTTCAACTTCCTTCATGTTAGTACTGTCTTTTCTTATGTTAATCTTAATGACAGCTTTTTGTAAAATGTTTGTTATTACACACAGATGCTTGCAGAGAAGGATGTCTTTGTTTTTCTGGAAGTTCCCTACGGAATCCCAAGCGTTTTGAGTTACGATAAGTTACTCAAAGTTGGATCTGCATGGGATAGCCATATTACTTGAACTTCTGCAAATCTTTGTGTAATTAAACTGCTCCATTTCTTTCACACTGCAGAATTTTAAGTTTCTTGATCCTGTTGTGTTAAGTTACGGCCTGGAGTGAGATTTGATTTCTCTGCATGTGAATTTAGAAAGTTAGTCTATCGATGTCACTCGGGGATTCGAGGATGTAAAGATTCATTGTTTTAAGCTAAAAGAGCTAAGTCTTGGCTGTTTTACTTACAAAGATGGGACAGTTGAGATTTCTTGTCCAAATCTTCTGTCATTAACAGATGATTCGTTTTGATGTTAACAAGCATGCTCAAATTTTCTAACAGTGACGATTCAGACAACCTTGGACATCTTTATTTGCTGTCACACCAACTTGAAATCTACTCTTTAGCTTTTTTTTATTTTTTCATGCTTTTCCAAGCATAGTAGTTGTGGCAGCTTTGTTAAATGACTCTCCACCTTTCGAAGTAAGATAACGTGCAGAAATGTATTAGCATTATACTTTACACCTTACTTGATCTTTGTCCACCACTATAAAGCCTCACTCTGTCTCTTCTCTAGACATTAAACACTAATAAGATCCAGCTCAATTTGCATTAGCATATTTGTATTATTTCTAGCAATATAGCCTGAAAAAGCTGAAGATGAAGCAACAATACTCCATCTCCTCCTGCTCAATTTTCCTTCTTTTCCTACATTATACGATTGCCTTTGCTCAGTCACCAGCTGCAGCCCCAGCGCAGGCACCAGCAGTAGTCGGAGCACAACCTCCAGCTGCAACCCCAACGCAGGTAGCTGCACCACACGGAATCACTAACGTCACCAAAATCCTCGAGAAGGCTGCCCACTTTACAATCTTTATCCGCCTTTTGAGATCCACACAAGAGGAAAACCACCTATTCTCTGCCCTTAATGATTCAAGCTCTGGTCTAACCATCTTTGCACCAACGGATAGCGCATTTTCGGAACTCAAATCGGGAATTCTGAACACTCTAAGTGATGGGGATAAGTCTGAGTTAGTGAAGTTCCATGTAGTTCCTACATTCTTATCGACTTCTCAGTTCCAGACCGTAAGTAATCCTCTCGGAACTTGGGCTGGAACAGGTAATCGGTTACCACTAAATGTGACAAGTTATCCAAACTCGGTGAACATAACCACAGGACTTACCAATACAAGTTTATCTGGCACGGTATACACAGACAATCAGCTGGCAATTTATAAGATTGAGAAGGTGTTACTTCCTAAGGACATTTTTGCTTCTAATGCTCCAGCTCCAGCACCAGTGGCACCTGCACCAGAAAAGCCTACGAAGGCAGTTCCTGCAGCTGATGTAGAGAGTCCTGTGGCTTCTGAGGATATATCTGGTGCACTCATGTTTACACACAATCATGTGGTGGAATCACTTGCTATAGTTGCTGCTGCAATGCTTGCTTTTTAGTGTCGAAGGGTTTTGAATCTTGAGACATGACAGGGTGGGGTCTGGCTTCGGTGTATGATTTTTCCCTTTTGGATTCCTATTGGAATTTGCATAATTCTGATTTTACTTCGAATCCAGTTTGTATGATTTGAGCTTGTGATTAAGATTGAATTTTGAAGCTTTAATTATTTTTCTTTGTCAAATTGCAAGACACACTCGAATAATCGAATTTTGTTTTTTCCTCCGTGGGGCTCGAGTCCTAGAAGTCAGTTTTTCTTGATTACTGTTTTCTCCAGTTGGATGACTTGTGTGTGATTAAACATACATGTTGTAGAACAATGGTGAAAACAGCCATTTCGTTATGAGTTTGGAATTCATACAAGTATGGTTGGAACCAAAATGCAGTTCTTTCTAATTTATAAGGTTAGAAGACAACTGACAGTTCAAAAGAGAAGAAAATGCTGATCATCAAGAAATTAGGCTTCAGAAATAGAACAACCTTTACTAGACTGCTGCATTATCTCATAGTTTCGGTTGGCCAACTTATGATGTAAAAAGAATTTCTTTGCTATATTTACTGTTACTATCACAGTGGAGCCTTTATAAGTTTTCTCTGAACGAATCTTTCTCTAGTTCATGCCAACATCAGGTTCAGGTTTTCTCTTTAGTTTTCAAAACTTTTGGTGCTGATAATTAACAAAAAAGAGCGTTGAAGCTGGAAGAAGTGGATTAGTACAAGTAAAATTGTTAAGGTGAGGACGATTTTGGTAAACAGAATGTGATAGGTGGGCAGGTAAGTTCCAGAAAATGGCAGCAAGGACAGGAAGAAAACACCACCACCAGCACAAGTATAGCCATCACTCAAAGCCTAATCAACCTATCAGAACTCAGAAGCCTCTCCTCCATATCCTCTCTTTCCTTTCAACCATGAATGCTGTCTGAACATCCTTAATAACCCACAAAAGGCTTGGACTCTGGTACAGAATCCCTTGCCTCCACTCCCTTTCCTTCTCTGCATTCGTCAACAAAAGAGCATTCCACCATTCAACATCTTGTAGAAGAATTCAGTTCATGTTTTACTCGTATTGGTTTAATGATGCTGAAGCTCTAAGGTACCCTTTCTTTTTACTTCGAAATGGCTATACTAAACTTTCAAGGCTCTCGTTTGCATGCTGAAAATATCTTTGTTACCAGTAACAAGGCCTCTATGGGCCAGGATCAAGTACATAAGGTAAGTGTTTCTTGATGATGTCGTGTTAAGTTATGGTCTGGTTTAAGATTTGTTTTCTATGTGTAAGTTAGTTTATCAATGTCTGTCATGGATTCAAGGATGTAAAGATTCATTCTTTTAAGCTGAAGGAGCTAAGCATTACCTATTTTAGATACAAAGATGGTTCAGTTGAGATTGCTTGTCCAAGTCTTGGGTCATTACAGATGATTCGTCTTGATGTTAACAAGAATGCTCAAATATGCCAGTGATGATTCAGACAATCATGGGCATCTTTATTTGCTGTCATGTCCACTTGAAACCTACTTTGCAGAATCGTTTGTATTTCTTGGCTTCCCAAGCAAAGTAGTTGCTGCAGCATTGTTAAATTTCCCTCTTCCTTGATGACCCTCCACCTTTTGAAGTATGATAAGGTGTTAGCAACCTAGTTCTATAACAAAAAATGTACATTACACCTAACTTGATCCTCTGCCCACGACTATAAAACCTCACTCTGTCTCTTCTTTACACATCAAACACTTCTAACTAAGATCGAGCTTAATTTACATTATCATTTTTGTATTGTTTCTGTCACCTTAGCCTGAAAACTTAAAGATGAAGCAACAGTACTCTATCTACCCATTTTCAATTTTCCTTCTTTTCCTATATTATACCATTACCTTTGCCCAGTCACCAGCAGCGGCCCCAGCACAGGCACCGGCAGTGGTCGTAGCACCACCTCCAGCTGCAACCCCTACACAGGCAGCTGCACCACATGGCATCACCAATGTCACCAAAATCCTCGAGAAGGCTGGCCACTTCACGACCTTTATTCGCCTTTTGAAATCCACCCAAGAGGAAAACCACTTGTTCTCTGCCCTTAATGATTCAAGCTCTGGTGTAACCATCTTTGCACCGACGGATAGTGCATTTTCAGAACTCAAATCGGGAACTCTCAATAGTCTGGGTGATGGGGAGAAGTCTGAGTTAGTGAAGTTCCATGTAGTTCCTACATTCTTATCGACTTCTCAGTTCCAGACAGTAAGTAACCCTCTAGGAACATGGGCTGGAACAGGTAATAGATTACCACTTAATGTCACAAGTTATCCAAACTCGGTGAACATAACCACAGGACTTACCAATACAAGTTTATCCGGAACGGTATACACTGACAACCAGCTAGCCATTTATAAGATTGAGAAGGTGCTACTTCCTAAGGATATTTTTTCTTCAAATGCTCCAGCTCCAGCACCGGAAGCACCTGCACCAGAAAAGCCTACGAAGGCGGTTCCTGCAGCTAACGTTGACAGTCCTGTGGTTCCTGTCGATATATCTAGTGCATCTATGTTTATGCACATTAATAAGGTTGGATCAGTTGGTATAGTTGCTGCTGCAATGTTTGCTATGTAATATGTAGAAGGGTTTTGAAACTTGAGATGAGATATTTTGGGGTTGGTTCCGGTTTTGTTCTATGATTTGCTGATCTGGATTCCTGTTGAAATTTGAATAATTTTTCTTATGCTTGAAATCCAGTTTGTACTTTTGTATGATTTGAGTTTGTGATAAAAACTGAATTTTGAGGTTTTAATTTATATCTTGATCAAATTGCAATCTGTATAAATATTCTTGATTGGTCAAATTTCTTTCCTTTTTTTCATTTTTCGCTGTCACTTTGGTGTCATCTACTTATTTCCTACCTTTCGGTTAGATAGAACCATTTCCACCATAGAGCTCGAGTCCCTGAAATCAGTGTTTCTTGAATGCTGTTTTCTCCAATTGGATGATTTGATTTCTGGAAGGTTGTAGGGAATGAAGAATGTAAGAGTTTTGTTCATTAAAGCTTCAGGAGCTAAAGCTTAGTTCCTTCGCTAACAAGAATGCATCGTTTGAAGTTGTCCAAATCTTGCGTAGCTACATCAGATGATTCCATTTAAGGTGCTTAGGTTGCATTGAAGCAAATATTTCGTTCCTAGACAGAAAAGAGTATAATAAGCATTCCAGACTGATGTGTAATTTACAATACATATCTTAATTTTTTGGTACGGTATACACTGGCAACCAGCTAGCCATTTATAAGATTGAGAAGGTGCTACTTCCTAAGGATATTTTTTCTTCAAATGCGCCAGCTCCAGCACCAATAGCACCTGCACCAGAAAAGCCTACGAAGGCGGTTCCTGCAGCTAACATTGAGAGTCCTATGGCTTCTGTGGATATATCTAGTGCTGTTATGTTTATGAATAATCATAAGGTGGAATAATTTGCTGTAGTTGCTGCTGCAATGCTTTCTTTGTAATTTAGAAGGGTTTCAAATCTTGAGATGAGATATGTCGGGGTTGAGTCCGGTTTCGGTGTGCATGAATTTGCAGATTTGGAGTCCTGTTAAAGTTTGAATAATTCTGATTTTACTTTGAATCCAGTTTGTATGATTTGAGTTTGTAAGATTTAATTTTGACATGTTAATTAATTTCTTGGTCAAATTGCAATACATATTTACATACTTCATTAGTCAGATTTCCTTACTTTTCTACCCCTTTTACTCTCACTCTGGTGTCATCTACTTATTTCCTAGCTTTTGTTTATATAGGACCATGCTTCTATAAGGCTTCAGTGAGCTTGAGTCTCTGAGGTCAGTGTTTGTCTAATGCTGTCCAGATCGGATGACTTTTGAGTGATTTGATTTCTAGGAGTGTAAATTTGGAAAGCTTATTTCTTGAAGGTTGTAGGGAATGAAGAAAGCAAAAGTTCTGCTCTTTAAAGCTTAAGGAGCTAAAGCTTAGTTCCTTCACTAACAAGAATGCATAGTTAAGCTTCCTTGCCCAAATATGTCATTCTTCGACAGTCTATATTTAACAATGGAGACTGGTGTGTGAGGTCACTTGCTAATGCACAACACCTTACTGCGCCAGGCTGTGGGATTAGGGGAATCCTTTTGTTTGTTTCCTTTATCTTGCCGTTTTGATGTTTCGATTCTTTCGAAGCTAGTGATAAGTTAGTACTAAACAAAGAGCTGTTGTTCAATTTGTCACAAACACAAAGATTAATTCTTACATGTTATTTTCAACTTCCATAACTGGAGATTACAAGCATTTTGAGTTGCGAACAGATTACTCAAAATTGGATTTTTTTTTCTCAAATTTCTCACTGCAACCTCAAGCATTTTGAGTTATGAAACAGATATACTCGAAATTGGATCTGCATGGTACACCTAATTTACTTCAACTTTTCCCAATCTGTATGTGAATTAACCAGCAGCATTGCGTTCACAGTGGAGCCCTTTAAGTTTTATCTGAATCTTTCTCCAGTTTTAGAATTGATATGTTTATTTTCTTGAACTTCAATAACTGGAGATTGGAAGCATTTGTATAGTCACAAAAGTCTTCTGACCACTATAACATTCTGTCAAGAAAATCTTCACCTAATACTATCTAAGGATCACAATACATCCCTTAACTTTAGGGACCTGCACTGACATGATTTTCTGCAGATTTGCTTCACCAATAATTTACAAAATATCAGTAGTTTGCTACAGAACACTATACACTACAGATTATGTAGCAAAACTATCGACATTCTAACACCCCTTGTGACTTTTGCTTGATACTTGAAGCTTGTTCCTGAGAAATCCAAATCTGACTTAAGAAAGAACTTTACTGAATATTCTGCTAGTTGATTTTCTGCTTCACAGTAGCTCAAGCTCACTTCATTAGCTCTCTCTACTTCATGAATGAAATGGAACTTCACTTTGATATGCTTGGTTTTGCCATGACTAACTGGATTCTTCGCAATCGCAATGGCTGACTTGTTATCAACATGAATTGTTATTGCTTCATGCTCTTGCTGTCCCATATCTTGGAGAAGTTTCCTCCACCAATCGGCTTGTTTCCCCATTGCTACTGCAGCTATGTACTCTGCTTTTGCTATGGATTGTGCCACGGTTTCCTGCTTCTTGGTCATCAAAGAAAATGCACCTGGACTGAAATTGAACACACAATCTGAGCAGGCTGTCAATTTTGCATCTGTAGAAGCATCAAACCACACTCCAAAATCAGTTGTTCCCCTCACATAACTTAAGACTATCGTTGCTGCACCAAAATCCTGCTCACTTGGAGACTGCATAAACCTTGAAAAAAAAAAAAAAGGCTTCCCACAAACATCCAATCAAGTAAATAAGCTGAGTTTTTCTTGAATATGTTGTGTTAAGTGATGGACTACGAGATTTGATTTCTGTGTGTGGGAATTTGGGAAAGTTAGTCTATCGATGTCTATCAAGGATTAAGGAGGTAAAGATTCATTGTATCAAGCTCAAAGAGCCAAGTCACAGCTGTTTCAGATATACAAAGATGGGTCAGTTGAGATTGAGATTGCTTGTCCAAATGTTCTGTAATTACAGATGATTTGTTCTGATGTTAAGAAGTATCAAAAGATGTTCACCAAGCAAAGTAGTTGCTGCAGCATTGTTATATTTCCCTCTCCATTGATGACCCTCCACCTTTTGGAGTAAGAGAAGCTACTAGCAACGTAGTTGTATAACTAAAATTGTACATTACACCTAACTTGATCCTCTGCGCACTACTATAAAACCTCAATCTGTCTCTTCTTTACCCATCAAACACTTCTAACTAAAATCAAGCCCAATTTACATCATCATTTTTGTATTGTTTCTAGCATCTTAGCCTGAAAACTTAAAGATGAAGCAACAGTACTCGATCTCCTCATTTTCAATTTTCCTTCTTTTCCTCCATTATACCAATACCTTTGCTCAGTCACCAGCAGCAGCCCCAGCACAGGCACCGGCAGTGGTCGTAGCACCACCTCCAGCTGCAACCCCAACACAGGCAGCTGCACCACACGGCATCACCAACGTCACCAAAATTCTCGAGAAGGCTGGCCACTTCACGACCTTTATCCGCCTTTTGAGATCCACCCAAGAGGACAGCCACTTATTCTCTGCCCTTAATGATTCAAGCTCTGGTCTAACCATCTTTGCACCAACGGATAGCGCATTTTCGGAACTCAAATCGGGAACTCTCAATAGTCTGGGTGATGGGGAGAAGTCTGAGTTAGTGAAGTTCCATGTAGTTCCCACATTCTTATCCACTTCTCAGTTCCAGACAGTAAGTAACCCTCTAGGAACATGGGCTGGAACAGGTAATAGATTACCACTTAATGTCACAAGTTATCCAAACTCGGTGAACATAACCACAGGACTTACCAATACAAGTTTATCTGGCACGGTTTACACTGACAACCAGCTAGCCATTTATAAGATTGAGAAGGTGCTACTTCCTAAGGATATTTTTTCTTCAAATGCTCCAGCTCCAGCACCTGAAGCACCTGCACCAGAAAAGCCTACGAAGGCGGTTCCTGCAGCTACTGTTGATAGTCCTGTGGTTCCTGCTGATATATCTAGTGCAGTTCTGTTTATGCATAGTAATGTGGTTGGATCAGTTGGTATAGCTGCTGCTGCAATATTTGCTTTGTAATTATGTACAGTCTTGTGGCTCCTGTGCATGATTTTCCTGAGTTGGGTTGGACTCATCAGAGTCTCTTGAATAATTCTGAGTTTATATTTAATCCAGTTTTTATTACTTGAGTTTGCAATTAAGTTTGAATCAGTTTTTATTAAATTTCTTGGTGGAAATTTGAACAAATTTATGTGTATAAAAGCATTGATTAATCTCATCTACAACCTTGCTGCAAGACCTAATTGTGTGTGTTCCTTTTGTATCATAGATCCACAACAGTCTGTTCTTGACATCACGGCTCAGCCTAACCTCAGAAACTAAATCAAGCTTCTTGATCAGCCTTCCAAGCCTGACGCCTTCTCCTCCAAGTCAGCTTCTAAAACCAATACAAACCTCTCCATGCACCCATAGTAGCTATCGTCCAGAGAGATAGAAAGTTACAGGCCACCCTTACACGTCTTTCTTCTGTCAGAACCGCCACTCCAAAGAAATAGTCTCTGCAAAGAGATAAGCTTTTTGCCACTCCTGATGGAAGCTTGAAAATGGACAGGTAGTAAAGAGGCAAGCTGGAGCTAAGCTTTTTAAGTTTGATTCTCTTTAATACTTTAAAACTAATTGGTTCATGTGATAGGGAGAAGAATTATCAATCATAAGATCACAAATTTGAGTTCCAAAATTCAACCGTAACATAGATGAAACATGAGTTTTTCTAGATCGATATGTGTGGATATAAAAGCTGAAATATTACTGCTAAGTATGTCGTCAACATATCCATGCACCTATTTTATGAGCAAAAATAAAAACAAAAGGTATTTTCCTAAAAAAAAAAAAAAAACAATATATTTTATATATTCTTACCTCTTTTTTGCCTACTTTGAGATTTTTATATATTACTTTTAGTCAAAATATAAGGTTAAATAATCAATATTTTTTTTTATTAATTTTAAGTTATTTGAGAATCGGTCTCTCGACTTTTAATTTTGGATTGAACCTTTCTCTTATTATTTTCATTTGAAATAGGATTTTTCTATTAAAAAACGGAAAGATGGACTAAATTAAAAAAAAAAATGAATAAAGTCAAAATACAACTTAAAAGGTTAGAAACTAATTTTCAAATAGATTAAAATTTAAATAATATTTGCCGTTTTAGCTTTGGAAAAATAAAATAACCTCAATGGAAATAGAAGATGATGAAAATGAGAAGGTTATAACATGTGACACAACCATTTTTCTGCACCCAACAATTATTTTCAATCGATGTTCAACTCTATCGTTATTGTTTATGCAGAAACTTTGTTTAATTGTTGTATATCTATAACCTAGGTTTGAGTACTGATGATTTCATAACAATATATGGTGAGATTGTATCGTACAAAATCTACCAGATCTTCTTCTGAATCAAAATTATTCATTTTGGGTAATTAAGAACCAAAATTATGCATTTTGGATAATTTAGGGATGATGTGGAGGATTTGAAATGAGAGAGGACTGCTTATTGTGTAATCAAGGCTGATTGGACCTCACGTAAAAAAAAATTCATGGATTCTGCTACCAAAGAGATTATAGATACGAAAGGGAGAGAGTTCCACACGTACTTGGAGAGGTCAAACCTTGACGCAAGCTTTGCCAAGAAATATGCTAAAAACTTCCTTACTTCACTCCTTTTGAAACTTTCAAACTCAAACGTGAGCTATCAAACAAAAACAAGAACAACAAAATTCAAAACTTTTAGGAAAGTGAAAACGAACTCAAGCACTCTTGCATCTTCTTACTTCACACTCTTGAAACTTTCAAACCCTAAAACGTACAGATATATTCCACTTTTCTTCTACCATCATGTGGTAATGGAAACAAGATCCACCAGGCGAAAAAAGTTGTGGTTTGGATCAAGTGATGAAGGTGATAATGACATTGACAGGATCAGTGATCTCCCTGATGCTATCCTTCATCACATTCTCTTGCTTCTTCCCCTTCAATCCATTGCTCAAACCAGTGTCTTATCGCAAAGATGGAGGTCTCTCTGGTCATCATTTCCTGACCTTGATTTCACCACAATTAACCCTAGTAAGGCGATCTGTTCTACACCAAATCTTAAAACAAAAAGATCAGCCTCGTCATCGATGGACTTTATCACTAACGTTCTAGCTCTCCGTGACAAGCATTCCGATTTAAGAACCTTTCGTTTTCGTGCCCATTTGAGCTTCTCCCGTCTAAATGGTTTGATCCGAAGAGCAATTAGGTGTAATGTGCAAGAACTTGATGTGGAAGTCGCCACCGGTGATTACTTCAATTTCCCTCGAGGGGTCATAACTAGTGAATCTCTACGGGTTCTGAAGCTGAGATCTCGGTATCCTGGGTTTAGATTGCTTCCATCTTCGGTTATGACTATCGGGTTTCCATCACTTCACACATTGTCGCTGTCACTTGTCATTTTATATGAACAATCCTCCCTCTTGGACTTATTTACAGAATCATCTTTTCCTTGTTTAAAGAAACTTAATCTAGAAGCTTGTTTCGGGATGAAACATCTCAAGGTTTGTTGTCGAGCCCTCCAAGATTTAACATTAGAGAATTGCTTTCAGCTACATAGTTTGGACATTTGTTGTGCAAAATTGGAGAATTTGAGAGTTGCAAGCTGTTTTGATGGATACAGTGATAAGACATGGTTTAAGGTTAATGCACCAGGGCTTAGGAGCATTTCATGGGAATATAATTCTATTACTGCTAGCAGTTCTCTAGTGAACTTGACCTCTCTTCATGAGGCCTCTATTGGTTTCTCTCTACATCATGAAAATTTGAGTGTGGAAAAGCTTCAGAGTGTATGCAATTTTTTATCTGGCCTCTCTCATGTCCATAGTTTAACTCTTGAAAGCCAATGTGTTGAGGTAAAATCTCTTGTTCCTGCCTGAATTGTTCCACTTGTTATTCCTTGTATATGTAATCATTTTTCAGATACATGGTTATAAGTTATCAGTGCATGAGAATTGCCTCTCAATATTGTGGCAGATTCTATCAAACAAGAATGATATTATACATCTTCTCCATCCATTTAATAACCTTAAGATTCTGGAGTTGCGTACTGGGTTCGAGAAAAGTAATGTACCAGGATTAGCATTCCTATTCAGGAGCTCTCCCACATTGCACACACTCATTCTCAAGATCATCAATGACTTCAAGATTGAAAGAAGAGTGAGTACCATAGTTTCATTCTATCTTCTTTTGTTTAATATATTTCCCTTCTATGTCTTGTACGCTCAGTGATGTTTAGTGCTATAATTTGTCTAAATCCCAACATTTTGTTTCATATTTTGCTCTTTCAGCAATGGAATAGGGACTTGTGGGACTTGACTACCTCTGCAGAGGAGCAATATTGGGAATCCCAACTCCAAACTTTAAGGCCTTTCCTGGACAACCTCAAGGTAGTAAAGATACATGGATTTTTAGAATGTGAGAATGAAGTTAGCCTAGCAAAATTTTTGCTCAAGCATGGGAAGGACTTGCAAGAAATGACTCTTTGCACAGCAAAATATTGCAACCATAAGGATTCTCTCCGGCGACAAAAAGTTCGGTCACAAATAATGGGATTTTCTTGGGCTTCCTCTAATGCTAAAATTGTGTTCTTACTGTCCTCTTCATAGTAGATTTTTTTTTACTTCCAGTTAATTGTACTCTTCTAAAATGTGCTGTGCAAGGAATAACCTTTTGCCATTCCTTTCCGTACTTGTGTAAAACCTTTGATAAAATCCGTCAATCTTTTCTACCCTGAGGTTGTTTTCGGCTTCAAAATATTGCTCTTCTGCGAAGGTTTGCATATTAGAAAACTGAATAGGGACTTGTAGGACATGTCTACCTCCACCGAAGAGCGATATTAGGAGTTCAAATCCGAAGTTGAAGTCTTTCCTAAACAACCTGAAGGTAGTGAAAAATCATGGATGTTTAGAATATTAGATGACATCATTCTATCAGAGTATTTTGCCAAGGAAGGAAATGACTTTCAAGAAATGACTCTTTTCATTGCACATTGCATTTTTAGTCCTCTCTACATAGAGCTAGAACTTTTTCGCTGTTAATTCTTCTCTTCTTCATTTTTTTTTCAATGAGAACTGCTTGCAATCAATCGTTTTAGATCTGTACGTTGGTAGTGGATTATAAATCTTTCAAAAACTTGCATGATTGGGAGTGTGAGTGGATTCTACGGCTATTAACTTTCCACAAAATACTAAAAGCAGGCCATGTTTACGAAAGTGACAGAGAAAGTGGACTGCCATTAGTAATGGATGGAAAGCTAACTAATTTTCCTTTCATGGCGTACAAAAGGCATGTGTGAAACATGGTGGTGAAGGTAATAAAACAAGAAGATGACACAATCAACAACATTTTCTGCATCATCTTGTCTACCAAGTTGGATATCTAGACCAGAAAATGAATTCTCTAGACGTCGTGTGCCTAAGCGTGCACACATTTGTACCTGCAAACAAGCGTATTGACAGGTCAATTTCAAGTGCTCAATTATGATCAACTTGGTGACTCAAGCAAGTGGAGGAACAAGATCCATGTTTTTTGTATCCAACAAACTAAAATCTGGATCGTAGTTCGTATTGGTCGGGCCAACTAGGAGATCTGGCATTGTTGATTGTCTTATTCTTGCGTAGTATAAGGCATCAATCTTTTCAGCTCACATGTGTGGTTAGAAAGATTTAAATGCAAGGTCACCATTGTAGGGTCACTGCATTGATTCGAGCTAAGCAGGAGGCAATGGTGGGGCAGAATTTATTGGGAAGCTCTTTTCATCCAAGTCTCTTTTGTCTCAGTTTTTGATGTTTTGATGCTACTTTTTCAAGAACGTGATAATTATTTTGTTTGCGAAAAACAGAACTTCAACGTACTGTATCTTTCCAAAAATCATTGTACAAGACTAGACTTGTAACGATTGTTCTGTCGCCCATGTAGTAGAACCTTTTGAGAAATAATCCATGGTTAATGTGCCTAGAGGACTTCAGTAAATGCTCCTGCTGTGTTTCTACAGATCATCAGAGACAAATATCAGCAATATCGGTAAGCATTGTACTGCAATAACATACGACCTTTTAAAACATTAATTGAGCTCAACTGTTTGGGAAAGAGTTACAAAATTAGCACCTTTTAGGTCATTGAAAAAGGCACAGAGCGGCGGATGTTTGAAACATCTTGAACCTCTATGTTTCAAACATTTACCAATGGAGAGGAAACCAAACCAGATGTTTCAAACAGTCGACCCATTAATGCCGCTTTATGTCGTTGTCAATGCCTCTTGGTGGAAGGTGATAGAATGTACATGTAACAGTACATAATTATTACTGTTTCATTTCCCATTAAATTGACACATCAAGTTCTAGCCAAAATAGCAGTATTGTGCTTCATTTTCCATGTTTTCTTTGGCAATTTTGGTTAATATATCCCACGGATGCATAGAATTTTGCTGAAGCGTATGTAAGAAAATTCAGAGGTAAATAACCGCGAAGCTTTAGTACAAGCAACTGATTTAGATAATAAATATTAAACAACTCAAACAAGAAACCCAAGACTGGGATTATTCTAGTACATCTTGGTCCAGGACACTCCTATTCTATTCGATCCTTCTACTTTCTCTGAAACCTGCAGCATGAAAGGCCTCTATATATGATGGCAAGCAGTACTCCTCCTTCAGTTTGGAGTGCACCATTGCTTATGACCAGGAACCCATTTTGGGCATTTTGGACTGAAGTAATTTGACACGACCCTAGAGTCAAGAAGCTCGATAATCGGTGCATATTTCACGCATCTTGGAGCCTTGTACTGATTTATTGATGCACCTTGACTTAAGGCAAAGTCCATGAGCTTGTCGAAGGTCCCATTCTCAACTATCCTTATCTCTAGAGGGCCAATGGACTTATCTGAGACTCGTCCTTGGCGATAAACACTGTTGAGTGTTTCTTCAATAGCAAGGCAACAGTCTTCAAAAACTGAAGGAGGAATCGGAGTTGCTCCACTAAGGAAGATCTCCCAGAATAATACATAGTGCCCAGGTATGTTTGATGTGTCAGCATAGCTGGTATATTCTGTCAGAGATGCATCAAAGGGTAAAAGATGGTTAGCTGCATTCTGCACTGCATTTTGCAGCTCAACTTCATCAGTCTTATCAGAATCAATGCTGAGAAGAACGTTCTTTCTGCACACAAAGTTGAATTGAGGAGCCTTGTTCTTGAATCCAGCCACACGAAGTATGTCCCCAACTCGATACCGATAAAGACCTGAAAACAAATTGTGATCAATATCATTGAAGGCCAAAATGGTGCAATTTAAAACATATTCCGATCAAGAAGTTAGCAATTTATGTATCTTGGAAGGGTTTTGAGTCTTACCTGCATAGGTGGTGACAACAAGCTCATACTCTTCACCAAGTTTGACGTCAACAAGATCAACCAATACTTGGTCTTTCTTCTGATGAAGGGATGTTGGTGCAGTGGTTGAATTTGCAAATCCATTCTTTCGGTTCACTGGCAAGAATTCAAAGTAGGCCATGGTGGGGATGAGGGTGTAAGAAACTTCGCTTGGCTTAGACAAAGGATTCAAGTTAAGGCCAAAGTAACATTCAGAAGAAGCATACATGGTGCAAACTAGGGGGAGGCCATTACTGTAATAGTCAAGTACAGGAATATACTGTGACATTGTTCCTGTGACAATGACATCAATATACTTGGTGTTAGGCCATAACCTAGGTATGATCCCTTTCCATGACTCTCTGCTACATTCAGCCTCAATAAAATCAGCTAGTTTCTGGTTTGGTTTGAGAATTTTCAAAACAGCATCTCTTACTAAAGGGTCACTTATTTTGGGATCAATTGTTCCACTTCGAATATCATTGCAAAGCGAAACCCAATGCTTTTCAAGGAACTTAATTGCCCTAATGAACCCAGAAGCAAAGACTGCACCGACACGAAGAACATCATTGTTTTGACAAAGGCCACAAAGCAACTGAGAGTACATACTCTGGTAAGAATCCTGGCAGAGAATGGTTTCGTTTGGGCTAGTATAGTTGTTGTATGGATCAAAAGGCCTATTTTTGAAGTGTGAACTTTTGTAGTAGCTAGTTAAAACTGGACGTGCCAGCAGTCCTCCAGGAGTCTTTGCTTCTGATTTTATGAACAAAAAGTACATCCCTTTTCCTTTATCCAAACCTGGAACAAATTGATTCATCACTGGCATCAATAGGCTATATAGCAATGATCTCCTTCCCAGCTCTTCCTCAATTGTTGGCATCAGCTTCCTCTCTCCAGCAGATGTACCAGAACTACACATCAAATAGCACCATATCAGATACACCCTTATCAAAACAACGAAAGGAGAAAAAAAAAAAAAACTTGTGAAGCTACGTTAATGATGGACTCACCTTGTCAAGAACTCTGAAATGGGCTGGGAACATATGATTTGAGAAGTATCACCACTAGCAATACGATCAATATCTGGCTTCAGATCCTCATAAGTGACAACAGGCATCACTTTCTTGAATGTTTCTCTGTTTGCTGTCTTCCCATTCAGGCCATGTCTCTGCAAATACTCAACATTTGCATTCCTGGAGAGGATTTCAGCAAGAACCCTCTTTTGTACCTCATCAACATTACATGTAACATCGTCAATAAACTGTAAAGCCTTCTGATTTTTTTCACAACCCAAGTTTTTCATATGAGCTTCTTCAGGCATGGTTTAATATTTAGCAAAACAAAAATGAAAGAAAGAGAATATGGGAGGAGACAAAGGAAAAGAGAGAAACTATAGCAATTCTAGCAAGTGGTGCTATATTTTTTGTGTGAAATGAAGGGAGGTAGCATAGGGTTTTTATAGAACCAAAAAAGTAAAAAAAAAAAAATCTAGGTGACTGCCTGTAACCCACTACACATACAAAAACATGCAATTTGTTTCATCAAATAGTGTAAACAAAGGATAAAATTGTAAGTCTCTTTAAGAATATTATCTGTCATTATTATTTTAATTTTTCTAGTTTGTAATTTCCCACTCAATTTACAAACTCTTGTTGAGCCAAATCTAATATATATTATATGGTATGATTTTTTTTATTTTCACAAACTGGTACGAAGATATCATTTATTGTCTAATTAAAAAAAGAAGATGAATATCGTTTTTTATGTGTTCTCCTATTAAAATTATACAAAACTAGAAATATAAATGCAGTCTTAATATGAGAATACTAATGATTCCGAATTACTATCCGGCTGTAAAATCAGAAAAAAAAAAAAAGGATAAATTTTATTTTACTAAAACGGCTTTACCATCACAAAAAAATCCATCCATTGGATCATTAGTGAGTCTCATTAAACAAACTAATACGATTTTTTTATATATATATATAGTAATTTGGAGAGAAAAAATTAGTAAAATTAGTATTACTTGAAAAGAAAAGAAAAAACTAATTAGGAAAATTAATTACTATTATTCTTGGCTAGCAAGGAAAACCGGAAAACTGTTGGAGTAGTCTACGTGAAAGAAGATTTCAATCGTAAAAAGAGGGGTGAGGACAGGCAATATCTGGTAAAACCGCGGGAAGTAAAGCTGGGATTACAGGAAATACGGGTGTAGTTAAGAAATTAATTAAGAACTTGAT